CTAGGAAAATCTGTTGTTCTATGTGATATAAATTGAAAATATTTTCCCACTTTGTCATGTGTCTTTTAACATTACTTTCTTGTCATGTAGGAGTTTTCTTTGAATTTGTTAATCTTTTTATGACTTCTGTCTGGAGCCATAGCTAGAAAGGTTGTCCAGTGTGGTAATTAAAGAGTGCTAGAGGCAACATGAGAGAAGATATTCGTATGACAGAGTTAAGGCAAAGAAAGAAGCATAGTTAGATAAGCCCAGGTCTAGGCTGGGACATCTCTTGACTGCAGCAGTGACTTGTATATAAATTCACTAGACTCGATTTCAGCAACACCTCATCTTGTTTTCTATTCCTTCTGACTTCTGATGTTCCAAACTTACTTATTTGTATTTCATCTACACCTCTTGCCTTCAGTATTTCTCTAGCTAGAGAGTCCTTTTTATGATTATTTCTTATTAATAAGAAGATATTGGATAGCTATTTTATTATTTAAAAAATTAAATTTGAAAAGGGAAGAGGGACAGTTATTGAATAATAAAGACCTAAGACACATAACCACATTTTAGCTTGCTTAGCTCTTGATTAAAACCAACCAACTATACTATTTTTGGGGCAATTGGTATAATTTGAATATGGGCTAGCTATTAGTTTATATTAAGTCATTATTATTAATTTTGTTTGGTGAGATAATATCGTGGTGGTTATGTTACTTAAACAGACTTTTCAGTTAGAGATGCTTAGCAAAGTATTTATGGATAAAATGTTACAATGTGGGATTTTCTTTAAGATATTACCAGGAAAAAAAGTAGTGGTGGTAGGGCGTAGGGTATAGATGTGATCATATTGATCAAATATTGATCATTATTAAAGACAGGGGATGGATACATGGGGTTCCATCAGGTAGAAGACAGGTGATGGATAATGGGGTTCATTATTATCATCTTTCTACTTTTTGTGTATATGTTTGAAAATTTCCATAAAGAAAAGTTTAAAAAGACTAAATATAAGATTACCACAGTTATTGTAGGAAATTTTTAAAAATAGAGAAAAGCTCCAGCCGAGTGCAGTGGCCCAAGCCTGTTATCCCAGCACTTTGGGAGGCCGAGGTGAGGGGATTGCCTGAGCCCACGGATTCGAGAACAGCCTGGGCAACTTGGCAAGACCTCATCTCTACAATAAATAAAAACAAAAAAAAATTAGCCGGGTGTGGTAGCATGCGCCTGTAGTTCCAGCTACTTGGAATACGGAGGTGGAAGGATCGCCTGAGCCCAGCAGGTCAACTCTGGGGTAGCCGTTAGCGTGTCACTTCACTCCAGCCTAGGCAATGGAGTGAGACTGCAACTCAAAAACAAAAACAAAAACAACAAAAAAACCAGAGAAAGGCTCAAAGAAAAAAAAATCCCACCAGCCAGACATATCTACTGTTAACATTTTGTTATATAGCCTTCTAGTCTTTTCCCATGTGTAAATATATACACTTTTTTTTAAAAAAAGGATTATTGAGGGTATTCAGTGTCTTGATTTTATAACTTGATATGTTAACCTTTCAGTGTTTCATGATTAAAAGTTGGTTCCAACATATAGATGTATAATAATTTATTTAGCTATTTCACTGGTGTTGAGCTTGTAGGTTATTCCTTATTTTTCACTACTGTAAACACGAGCATCTTCATAAGTGATTGTTCATATCTATGAATAGCTCTTTAGGCCATGCTCCTAGAAATGGAATAATTGGATCAGAAGGTATAGACAGTATACAATTTGATATGATACAAACTATAAGTTACCTTTCAGGTGGTATCATTTTGCCCCTTCACCAGCAGTAAATGGGAGTGCCTGTTTTCCTGTATTCCTGCCACAGCCAGAAGGCAGCTTGTTCAGACTAGTAATAAATATACCAGGGTGTTGAAGCGTAACTGTTGCGTACGGACACCTCTGATTCTTACATTGGATGAACACCTGTGATTCTTACACTGGATGAACACCTCTGATTCTTACATTGTGGTGTGGCAGGGCAGGTAGGGTCAGCTGCTTAGGCACCTGCGTGGCCACATATGCCTGTGTTTTATCAGTTAAGGGGCTATGGTCTTATGGAGAACCCCAGTGTCTCCGACCCAGCAGCCTGTGGCTTCAGATCAGTAACATATCTTAAGCCAAATAATCTCTAGTTTTCACAGTGCCATGGCTCTTGGACAATTTCTGTAGGTGATTTCTTCATTTAGGACTTTGTATGGGTAAGCTCACCAGGAAGGTCTCCTTTCAAGTCATCTTTGAAGATAAACTTATCTTCCAGCACTCTTGGCCTTGTTTCAGTACTTTTTGGTTTATCTTGGTATTGTGGTCTGACAGTCCACCTTGTTTGTTGCAAAATATACAGTGTGTTTAGATCTTGAGGCTTTCATACAACAGTTGTTTAACATCCTTGCAGGAACTGACAATTTATATTTCGCTCTATGTACAGATTCTGTATTCTATGTTACTGCCTTATTCTTTCTGTCTCATCAGTCAGTGACATCTTAGGCTATCAAATGAGAGAATCCTGATACTAGCTTTTTGTCTAAAGGATTCTTAGTTACTTGTGAGCTGTCCTTTAAAATCTTGGATCCAGTGTAGAGTTTAATGTGGTCAAACAAAAAAGATAGTCAATTGAGCAGTAAATCAGCAAACAATAAATCTAGAAAATGAAAAAGTATCACAGGACAGGCACAGTGGCTCGTGCCTGTAATCCCAGGACTTTGGGAGATCGAGGCACAAGGATTGCTTGAGCCCAGGAGTTCAAGACCATCCTGGGCAACATAGCAAGACCTAGTCTCTACAAAAAATGAAATTAAAAAATTCGTAGGGTGTGGTGGTGTACGCCTATAGTCCCAGCTGCTTGAGAGACTGAAACAGGATTGCCTGAGCCCGGGAGGTAGAGGCTGTAGTGAGCTATGATCATGCCACTGTACTCCAGCCTGGGTGACAGAATGAGACAATGACTCAAAAATCAATCAATCAAACAAACAAACAAACAAAAATATTACATAAATTTCCCTTGACAACAGCCCCCTTTAATATAGAGACTGTAGTACTAAGAATATAACAAAATAATTCTTAGTGTTCTTTTTAGGGAAATTTGGTCCTAATGAAAACACCTTTGAACTTAATTGTCTTTGTGTGATTTTTTTCTACTAACCAAACTTTCATCAATTTGACACACATCCCTGAAGAGCTTCTAAAACCTGCCATCTTCTCAGAATATTCAGACAAACTTAGCCACTGTGAATTTCCCATCTAGTTCCCATCACGAACATTTGTAAAAGTGAAAGAAATTATTACAAGCACTCTCATCCCAGATAGTCATTTATTATTACATTGCATGGGCACCTCCTCTTGCAAAACTTAAAGCAAAATGTGTAGGAACCCTGAAATTAGATCTCTCATCCAGGGAGGACTTTATTTTAGTAATCATATTTTGAATATAGTGATGATTTTTTAAAATCTTCTCAAAATATAAATTTGCCTGAAGGTCTCTTGTCATCACCTTGACATTGAAAGCTATAAGTTGTTCTGAAGTGGAGTTGGTTGGAGAACAGCTGCTACCAGTTGGTCCATGAAAACCTTGACTCCGAGCTGTTTCACAGTTTGGAGTAAGCCACACCACAAAGGCTGTTTGCCAGGGGTGGGGGTGGGGATTGCCTGTTTTTAATCCCTGTTGTCCCAGGGCCAACCATAATTAGGGAGGCCTCCCCTTGCTCAGTGAAGCTATATTTTGCATCTTTTTCATTGTTTGATGGAGATTGTAGGAAACTGAGAAAATAAACGTGGACTAAGAGGGTTTTGTTCCCTTTTATTCCTTCCTAAGTTAGTTGGCTAGGGCTGCATAGCAAAGTGCCAGAAATGGGGTGGCTTAACAACAGAAACTTATTGTTTCCCAGTTCTGGAGGCTAGCAGTTCAAAGTCAGGGTGTCCATGGGGTTGTTCCCTCTGAGGGCTGTGAGGGAGAATCTCTTCCTCTGTTCTGTGCCTTCCCTCCTGGCTTCTGCAATCTTTGATGGTCCTTGGGTACACGCATCACCTTAATCTCTGCCTTTATGTTCACATGGTATTCTCTGCATGTGTGTGTCTCTGTGTCCAAATTTTCCTTTCTTTATAAGGACATCAGCTGGATTAGGACCCTCTCTAGTGACCTCATTTTGGCTCTATTATCTCTATATAGACCTTATCCAAATAAGGTCACATTCTAAGGTGCTGGAACCCTGGCGTATTGTTTGGGGGAGAACCAAAATTTAACCTATAATACCCCCATTAAAAAGAATGACAAACAGCTCCCACAGTGCTCTTGCACTTGGGCAAGGAGGATGGGGGCGAGGGGGCAGGATTCTCCATTGTCCAAGTGGCCCACAGCCTCAGTGCTGCATTCTTGCTTTTGGGGTCAGTCCGCAGGGTTTTCCAGAGTCAAGCTTCCTGAGCACAGTGTGGGTAGGAAGATAAGAGATGCTGATGCTTTTTATTTTTTTGTTACCTGATGAAGAAATTATGAACCCTAGTGACATCCAGCAATAACTGTTTTCCCTTATTTGAGACATTGAGGGATAAACTTCTCCTTATTCTTCTATAATGACAAAGCAAGCATGAGTTCTCTAAACAAAGAACAGCTTTAAGCAGAGAATTTGTCAGCTTCTGAGTTGTCCCTTCTCATGGCCAGCAGCTGTCCTCTGGGAAGTGGTACCCAGTCTCCAGCCTACCTTGCCCAAGAACAGTAGTCATTATTCACAGTCTGTTGATTCTGTCTGTTTCCCGTGAGAAAAAGAATGTGGCACACGGTGCTTTCAGAGTTTCAGGCCTCTGTTTGAGCTTTTCTGAAGAATCTTCTGTAACATCAAAGGAGACGTCTTGAGTAACCTCAAAATGGGGATCTGTCGAGAATACAGGGCCTTTGAACCGAACGTTACAGTCCTTGAGGTGGGGGGTTGGTAGCAGCACCATGGCCAGAGCTCTTCTCACTGTGCATGTGTGTGTTGTGCAGACACCAGCTGGAGATGCCAGGACATTACTCTCATCTGGCTGCCTTCTACGAGGACAAGAAAGGGCTGCTTCATACTGGTCCCGGCAGAGGCAGCAGCCTGCCCCCTGTCTGCTGGCTGCCTTCCATCCACCGATACATGTACCCCGAGATGAAGGTGAGGTCAGCTGTACTCTCACACAGTACTGGACTTGTGTCTGGAAATAGCAGCTGCTGATTAATTTTTCATGAACAAGGAATTTGTGTCTTGGGCTCATGTGTGAAGTCTGCTTTTGATAGGATAGGGTGGTAATGTAAGCTAAGCAATTGGGGTTTGTTTAAGAAACAAGGCAAGTTATCTAAAACAATATGCTTTCTAGACACTTCTGTTATCACAGTGCAATGCTGTGTGTGACAGGCAGGTCAGTTGGGCTGGACTCTTGGGGGGTGAGGCGGGTTCGGTTCTGTTGATTGCTCCCAAGATTTTAGTCAGACATTTGAAGTAAAGACGGGATTTGAGGATATTGTGTTTGATATTACTTAGTTAGAATATGTTTGATATTACTTTATTTTGTATTTTTTGTGAAGTACTTTGACTTTGATACTAGATTGTGTTTGTTTATAGTTAACAAAACACCCAGCTGAGAGATGAGTGTTGGAAGGGTTCAAAGAGCATGAAGCTCCTCTTTCTCTTCCTTCTCCTCCTCCTGTGATTGGTCACAAGATATTTCAGTGGGAACCTAGGGCTCCCCGGTACAAAAACTCTATGTCATGAGTTTCAGAGGGGACTCTGGGAAGGTTTCTTGGAAGACGACCTGGTCTCTGAGTATTTGGCTAGGTGGAAAGTGAGGAGTGCTAATTCCACAGAGAGGGAAGGCAAGGGCAATAATAGTGAGAACCACGGTCTACCACTTTCCCAGCATCTTCTGTGAGTGAGGCATTATACCAGCTGTTTACCTACACCTGTTGCAGCACTCTTTAAGGTGTGATTATTTTTTCATCCCTGTTTTGTACCTAAAGCAACTGAGGCTTATAAAAGACCAGTGACTTGATTCAGGTCTTGTAGCTAGTAGGAGATAGAGTAGGATTTAAATACAGGACTGGTGCCACAGTCAACGTGTGGTCCCAGCCCCATTCCTTTGTCTTGGTGAAGATATAGACATGGAAAAACACAAGACTAGTTCATGGGACACAAACTCACTAGTTTGGCTGAGATTAAATATTCATGTTGACTGGTCATGAGAGAAAATATTGCAGAAATAGGTTGTAATCAAATTGCAGAGAGCTTTAAATACTACTAGATTATGGAATTTGAGCCCTAATAAGTATTAGTTAGGGTCTTGTCAGTAAAAGAGACCATGTTAGGTATTTCAAAACTAATTCAATACAGGAAATCAGTAATATAGGAGTTGGAAGGCTGAAGTAGTAAAAGGGAATAAAGTAACCAATATGTTAGTATTTACAGAGAACAAACCACCACCCTGTATTAGTTGTCTATTGCTGTGTAACAAATTACCCTCAAATTAATGGTTTAAAACAGTATATATTTGTTATCTCACAGTTTCTGTGAGTCAGGAATCCCAACATGGCTTACCTGGGTCCTCTGTGTCATTTTCTTTCATGAAATGGCATCAGACGGTTGGAGTCTCATCTGAAGGCTTGATTAGGGAAGTATCCATATCTAAGCTCAAGTGGGTGTTGGCAGGATTAAATTTCTTGAGGGCTGTTGAACTGAAAGCCTCAGTGCTTGCTGGTTGTTTGTGGGAAGCTGCTCTCAGTTCTTAGCCGCATGGGTCTCTCCAGTATGGCAGCTTGCTTCATCTAAGCCAGCCAGATAATCTGCTGAAAAGGTGGAGGTCAAAACCTTTTGTAACCTGATTGTGAAAGTGACAGCCCTGCAATGTCCCCAGATTCTTTTGGTCAGAAGCAAGTTACTCAAGAGGAAGAGGGGATTGCATAATGCTGTAAATACCAAGAGGTAAGACCATTGGGACAGTCTTAGAGTCTAGGCTGCCTGCACACTCCCCTAGGGCTGGGCTGACAAACAAGAAGCGGCATGATCAAAACCGTGGACCCTGGAGAGGGTCCCTGCATGGCCAGGCTCAGATCTCTGAGGGAGGCACTGTACATCTGACACTGTTGAGTCACAGTTGTCTTCTGCTGCTCAAGAAATACTAGCAGGAGCAAAAAACTGAAGAGAGTTCATTCTCCCTTCCTCCTGCTCTCTAGTTCTATTCCTTGCTCCCCATTGAAGAAGTCTAATGGGGAGCCAGTTGGCGTGGGAGTACAGGAAATGTCAATTGCAGATTTCCCCATCCCATGGCACGGGCTGAGAGACAATAATTAACATGGTCAGAGGGTCACTGGGTGATGCTGGGCTTGTATTGACCCGAACCCTGCTCTCTTTCTGTCTGCTAACTCTGATCCACTTTTTTTGTGTTCCTTCTGAGTCCAATTGCTGCTGAAATAGTTCCAGGCCCCAGTATCTGAACTGAATGTCCCTGGATTCTTTTCCTCAAGGGGCCAGAAAGGAGGGACAAAGGGAGAAAAAGGAAAATTGTCTTCTGCATTGCCCTGTGGAGGGCAGCACAGCTCATTACATACCCGTTCAACCCTAGGAGTTGCAGGGAAAGGGTACTTCTGTAGGCTGCAGACATAAATGTAGAGAATAGAATCTTCTTTTTAAAACTCAATATGTCAACACATCACAATGAAAAATATATGTACTTTTTGTTTTAGCAACCTCACTCCTCAGGATCTATGCACCAGAATGACGTATGTGTAAGAATGTTTACTTCAACATTGTTCAGAGTGGTAGAAAGGCCATCTATTAAACAGCCCTGATGAATAACAAATTAGAGCATGATAAAGCAGCATGGAAGGACTACCAGGTCTGTTTTTGTGAGAATAACAAGGTGCAGAAAAGTCGTCATCCCTCGGTATCCACGGGGGATAGGTTTCAAGAGAACCTCCCCCACCCTTGGATAACAAAATCTGAGGATGTTCAAGACCCCATAAAAAAAGGACATAGTATTTGCATAAAACCTACACAATCCTCCCAAATACAGATGTTCCTCGATTTACTATGGGGCTGTATCCCAATAAACCCATCATAAATAGAAAGTGCCTTAAGTCAAAAGTGTATTTAATACTGGCAACATAGCAGGTAGTCCCTGACTTCTGATGATAAGACTTAGCGATTTCTCAATTTTATGATGCTGCAAAGTTACCCCACTAAAGTCGTAAGGAGTGCCTTGACTTACCATGGGGTTGTATCCTAATAAAACCATCATAAAGTCAAAAAATAGGTAGGGATGGTCTGTACTTTAAATCATCTTTGGGTTACTTTTAATACCTAATGCAATGTAAACGCTATACAAATAGTTTTTTTATACTGTATTGTTTTTTACTTGTTTATTGATATCTTTTTATTTTCCCAAATATTGTTGATCTTCAATTGGTTGAATTCACAATGTGGAACCAGCAAATACAGTCGACAGACTGAATATATGATATGATTACACTGTTGCTAAATAGTCATCGTCTTAGGTATAGATCATGAACACACACACGTATACATGAACATGGAAAAATGTGGATGGGTGAATACTAGGGTAACACATGTATTCCCTGGGATGAATTATGGAGCATAGGGCAGTGCTTATGTGTATTAAAAAGGAAAAAAAAATGGCAGCACTAAAAAAAGATACATATCATTTATCATATATATATGTGTGTGTGTGTGTGTGTGTTTATATAATATATACATGATTCCATTTGCCATTTATAGAAAGCCATGTATGAGGCAAGGGAGAACCAAAAAAACAAAACTTGGAATTGTCTTTTTGGAGGGCAGGCCCCTTGTAGTACAGGGTTCCTCCACTAGGTAAGTAAGAGTTCTAGGAACCCACCAGCATCGGTGTACCAGCTAGCATTGTTGTGAGAGGCTGTGTTCAGCTTCAGTGCATTTTTCTGGGAGGTGCTTTCAGTGTATTTTTGTGTTGGGTGATTTATGAGCACTCATGCCCACACCATGCTGGGTGTTCAGCAGTCTTTGACCCAAAATGGCATGACCATCGTGCCCGTTCACCTGATCTCACCCTGAGTGACTTTTTGTTTGTTTCCCTGGATACAAAAAGTTCTCAACGGAAAACATTTTGCCAATGCAGAAAAGGTGAAACAAAAAATGTCAGAAGCACTAAAAAACATCAAAATTGATGAGTTCAAAACTGTTTTAGGCAGTGGAAAAAGTATCTTGATAGGTGTATTGCATTAAACGGAAAGTGCTTTGAAGGCAACTGAAGTTTAAACATGTAAGAATAAATGCATAATTTTTTATAAATAATTTCTGGTTTTTGGAGGGTTCCTCTTGTATTCATACATACTAAGACATTTTTGTATGCTTTTTATTGAAATATAGCATTTATAGGCATAAGCTCAAATCATAAGTATAAAGTTCAGTGAATTTTCTATAATGTGAATACATATAAAATCTTTTAAGTTATTAATGTTTGAGCAGACCTAAGACTGTTTTGTGGAAGAAAAAAAAACTGGAAAGGAGGCAGGAGGAAAGGATGGAAGCCCATCTGAGTCTGGATGTGCATGCCAAATTATCCCCTTAGGGAAATGGGGAAGTGGGAGAAGGTGGGGAGACTGGGCCCAGGAGTGGAGGAGTGCCCTCGTGTTGAATACAAGTTGAGAAGAGCCCACAGTGGAGACTGAGCCCTATGGACTTGCTGACAGTGGTTAGGGTGCAAAAATAAGTTGGAGTAAACAGAGGATGGAGTGCAGGACTTGAGAGGTCAAAGGAAAAACATGAAGGTAGGAATTGTGGACATCAAGAAAAGAAAGTTCCCCACGAAAGCCACAGAGGAGCAGGGCTGGAAAGAGGGAAAGAGATTTGAATGAAAGCAGGAAAACGTCTGCTGCATTGTGCAGTGGTTGGGGTGGAGTGAAGAAAGGTAAGTAAGGTGTCTTTAGCACCAACTCCTTCAGAAGAGAGGAGGCAGCTGGTGGTGGCTGATTTCAGCGCTCCCCTGGCACAGGCCTGGGCACAGGATCTGAATACTTGCTGTTCCTAGGAAGTGCCATGCCCCCTCCTCCCCTTATCTCCGGGCCTCTGGATGTGCCATTCCCTCTGCCAAGAACATCGTCTCTCAGACTCATCCTTTATGTTGAAGGTTTGGCATCACTTCCTCCAGGAAGTCTTCTCTGTCTCTCCAAGAATGTTTACTCCAACAACCCCCATCCTTCTCCCATCACAGCTCTCATTGGGCTATATCTTAATTGCCTAGTTATTTCATTGTTTTCTTCCACTAGTCTGTACACTAGATGAGGGCAGGGACTGAATCTTTTTGTTTATTGTTGGAACTAGAATACTTAGTGTGTGGCACAAAGTAAGAGCATTAGAACTATTTCTTGAATGAGTGAATCCCTGAGTGAACACTAAATAAGATCAGAACTGATCATTTATTCTTGGATTCTGAAGGCCAGGACACATTGGGCAAGCCCTGCCAGGCCTCCATGTGATAAAATCACGTCAAGTGGTTGAAGAAGGCTGGGGAAGACCGGGAAATGTTGGACTTCCCTTTCTGTCTGATTGTTTGACTTTGATGAAAGATAGTGATTGGAGAGTTCTGACCGGACTTGGTCACTTGATCCCTCTCCTCCTGGTGATGTGGGATGCAGTCGCAGAGGATAGGCATGGGATCACAGACAGGGCACGCTCAATGGAGGACTACCTCATTCCAGTAATGGCGTCAGAGCAGGGGCAGTGCCTTGGAAAGGGAAATCCTCTCCAGGTAGTACAGATGCAGTTTTGGAGGGCCTAGGACAGGATTGACTGACAGGGCTCAAGGTTTCCGTGTGGGGGCCCTCAAGGGTTCTGTGTTGTTAAAACACAGTATGGCCTGGTGTCAGTGCCTCTCTTTAGAAGTGCTGTCACCTGCATCCCTAACAGGTGAAGAGCACTGTTACTTCTGACACTTTGGCATGGAAGTGACCTTCCAAAAGTTCATAAGGCACCAGGTTTGAAGCCTTTCTGTTGTGTCAGTGACCTCAGTGGTTGCCACATGTGTCTAATCCTTCATGCTAAGCACTTCCTGTCTTGTCTCAAGTGTTCCTTACAGCCATGAGGTAGGCCATGGTCTCTCCATTTTACAGGTAAGGATAGTGAACTAGAAACGTCAGCGCAGAGCCAGGGCTGGAATCCAACTCTTCCATAGGCCAGCATTGATGTTCTTACCCCTAGGAGAGTCCTTGGCTCAGGGTCCTAGCAGGCAGCCCTCAGGGGTCACCAGGCCCACACAGCTGACATCAAAAGGAAGAGTGATCACAGCTGAAGTGCAGTGGGGCAGTGGGGATTATGCCTGAGTCCCTCCTTGCTGTGACTTCCACAGATACCTCGCTTCGCATGGTAGCAGGTCCCCTTATATTCGGGGATCTGATCTGGGACCATTTGCTTGTCATGTTACTACTTACAGAGCTCAGTAATGTTTTTGAGTTGAATTTCCTTATTCAAGTGAAGTATGTCTTCAAATGTATTTATTTCTGACTTTTAAAAAGTCAGCTTTCTTTCCTGTGTACCTCTTTCTCCTGAGGAAGGTAGCCGATGATCCCTAAACACAAACATCAGTATATCTGGGAAGCTGTTGTATTCTAGAAATATTGTTTAAAGATGAACCTTTTAAAGTGAGAAACCTCATTTTGTGGGAAGTAACCATGGTTCTGTCTGACTGTACTTTAGATTTTTTTTTTTACTGGGGTGTAGCCTATACCTGTATTGGACATTTTTTCCAGTTTTTCTAACAAGCTGTTCTTCCCTTCCTCCTTCCCCATCCCCTTCTAATTTTTTCAGATCACACACCCAGCTGGCTGCATGTCTCAGTTTATTAAGTTCTTTGGAGAGCAGATCCTCATCCTCTGGAAATTTGCCTTACTTCGAAAGCGCATTTTGATCTTTTCTCCTCCACCTGTGGGTGTCGTGTGCTATAGAGGTAACTAGAAGGCAGAATCAGGCTCTTCTTAAATTCCCTGAAACAAAAACTGCTCAGGTTTTTCCACCATTGACCAAGTTTGGAAGACTTTGGGCCACATGAAGGGGATTGTGGTTTTCTAGCCTGCGAGTGACATGATTGGATATGGACTCTGGAGGCAATGTAGAAGATGGGTTGGGTGACATAGCAGTAGCCTGGCGAGAGATAAGGATCTGTATTAAAGCACAGAAGATGGATTCTAGATATTTTTAGGAGACAAACTGGATAAAATACGTTGTCTAGCTGGACGGTAAAGGCTCTGATGCACGTGAGGTTGTGATGGAGAAGAGTCTAAGATGACCGGGGTGTGGGGTCACCAGATGGGGGACCTAGGAGGAGTGGGTGGCAGGTTTGACAGGGCTAGTGTGGGACATGATGAGCGCACACTACCAGTGAGACTTTCACAAGGAGATGTCCACCACCCTTGCACAGCTGTAGTCAGGACCTGTAGGAAGTTGGGCTGGAGATAGATTTGAGAGTGGCATACAGGTTGCCCTGAAAATTGGGTGGGTAGTGTGCCCTGGGGAGCTATCACCTGGGAGTGAGGAGAGGAAGGCCGGACACAGGAGGTCGACCAGTAAATGCAGAAGGATAGAGGAGACAGGGAAGAGACAGAAGGGGGAGAACCAGAAGGTGCAAAGATTATAGTGGGCTGGAGTTCTGAAAAGGCAGAAGATCAGCAGTGTCAAATTCTACACATGACCAGCAAGAAAAAGACTGAAATGTGTCTATTGGGTTTGGTGAGCATGCCATTGGTGTGGCCTTCAGGGGTCAGGTTGTGCTGGGTACCCCGAAGGCTTGCCACCCCAGTCTCCTCAGAATGCCAAGACTACCTGGTTACTAGGGTACCTGGTGGCACAGAACCCTCCACAGCTTTGGAGGCCAACTCTTTGGAGGTGTTGTGCAGCAAGTTTCCGTGGAGGGAGGGGCTGGGGGCACACACTCTTCCCCCTCACTTCTGCTGTCCCCATAGTGTACTGCTGCTGCTGTCTGGCCAACGTCTCATTGCCTGGCATCGGGGGCACCATTCCTGAGTCCAAGCCTTTCTTCTATGTGAACGTGGCTGACATTGAGAGCCTGGAGGTAGAGGTGTCCTATGTGGCCTGTGAGTACGGGGCCCTGCCCTCATCCTAGTTACGCCCAAGCCCTTCTCCTCCCCATCGTGGGTCAGACAGGTTCCCACCTTGCTAACCCCGGCTTCTACAGGCACCACAGAGAAGATCTTCGAGGAGAAGCGGGAGCTGTATGACGTCTATGTGGACAACCAGAATGTGAAGACACACCACGACCACCTGCAGCCGCTGCTGAAGATCAACAGCGCTGACAGGGAAAAGTACCGGCGGCTCAATGAACAGAGGTGGGGGCAGCTCTGGGGGCTGGGGGACTCCACCCTTCCAGGACAGCCCAGGACCAGGGTTCTCTGTGGAACCTAGCCCTCTGCCCTTTCCCATGCGTTTCTGCTGTCCTCTGCTATCTGGGGGTGGGAGTGGAGGGAGCCCCTGCTCCCTCTGCACCCCCTGGATGGGGAGTGACAGATACGTGGGGCTGATTCTTTCTTTCCTCTCTAAGGAACCTTGGGGTCTGTGAAGCGCAGGGAGGGGCAGTGACGCCAACTCCCAGGAACTCCCCAGATGACCCGGTGGCTTGCCTGTGTGTGCTTAGAACAACCATATATTGAGCATCTCTGTTGTGTGGATCACACTGTTTAAGGAGCTTTTCCTACATCATCTCATGGGATTCTCAGTAGCTCGGTGATCCCGTGAAATAAATAGTATCATCATCATCCCCATTTGATGGGCAATCAGGAAAGATTGTCCCTTGCCTGAGATTACCAGGGGCAGAACTGGTCTGGAACCCTAGGGGTTTTGAGTCCAAGCCCTGTTGATTCCTTTCCTAGCTGGTGCTGCTTTTGGGGTGGCAGTGGTCCATGGGGGAGGTGGTGGCCCATTACAGGTGCCTGGCTGATGCCCAACCTGTGCCTGGGGTCCTGATGGCGGTCTCCTTCCCAACAGGCAGATGCTGTTGTACTCCCAGGAAGTGGAAGAAGACTACAACCCTTGTGAAGAGGACCTCTTTGTGCTGTGAGTCCTGGGGCTGCGGTGTGGGGCTTCCCTGAGATCCTTCAGCACTAACTGCTTTGGACAACCCAGATCCCTCCCATGTCATTCCCTGTGGTCCAGGGCACTTAGAGCTGGGCTGCATACAGAGGCAACCTCAAGCCCTGAGATGCCACTGGGGGATCCCAGAGGACCTAGGAGAAGAAGCATGGGTGGGCCATCAAGAGAAAATGGGGTTCCTGGTGTTTGTTTTCCTGTTGGGCTTTTACATCCAGGATGTCCACCACATGGATGCACTGTCTGTCCCTCAGAGCTCAGGGACTTATCCATTGCTTCCTTTGAGTGGAGCAGTTCCTCACACTTTTACGGGGATGCTCTGAAATGTGAACTTTCAAGTCACAATCTCTTTCCCCTCGATCTGTTTGTGGTAGGGGGCAGGAGCCAGGACCTTCATAGCTCATAGCACAATTTCATTCATTGTGTGAATACTGTGCAGCTGTCCTTGATACGAACAGAATTATCTCAGCTTCCTATTCCATCTTCCTACCCCACATCCGGGGACAGGGTTGGGGAACAACATTTGTAGTTTGATGTTGAAAACTTAAAGTGGATTTTACCACAGAAATGCAGTGCCTTGATTCTGGCAATGGGCATGCTGTTTAGATGGACGTGAGCAGAGCCACAGGCTTGAGCAGAGCCACAGGCTCGTCAAGGTGTGACACAAGCCATCACATCTGGAATTCCCGAGCATCCAGAACTGCTTTAGGCACTGGTCACTTTGCTGACTGAGAGGTCTGTGGGGGAGCAGTTACTAGACAGCGGGTGCCTTCCTGACAGGGCTCGCTTGTTCACACAGTGCTTGGAAGCAGTAACTTTGGAATCTTGCTCCAGGCATCATTCCACTCCCCTCAAAAGAGTAAACATGGGGATCAGATGCCCAGGAGAATGTCATCTCTGCCAATGTCCATGCCGTGCCTGCCCCCACTTCCTCCTCCACCCTCACAGTCAGGCTGCCAGCTTCGTGTCTCCATGCCTGGCCCAGCTTCACAGTGTCCACGTGGCTGCCCTGGCTGCTCCAAGGTCTGCCTCCTCTGTGTAGACAGTGTCAGCCGGGGCCATCTACCATGACATGGGCTGAAGGACCCCTTGCTAGCCTCCTTTTCTCTAGCAAGGCTGCTCTCCTGCCAGTCCTGCTACCTACCCCAGGCTTTGAGGGAGAATTTCCGTTTCTCGTTTTAAGTCTTGGCCTCAGAACTGCAGTATCAGGTTTTGGTTTTTGTTATTTAACTTTCTCCTTATAACTAAGCAGAGAGAAAAGCAGTGTGTGGGGGCCTCTCCCCAGGCTGTGTTTAAACCCTGGTCACTTCCCTCTTAACAAAAAATGGATTTTTGGCTGTTAGGCTTTGGCTTGCTCAGAGATTTCCCCAGTCATACTGTGATTAATGTTAAGTGCATTCTTTGCTAACCTTAGTAGTCTTTAATAACTGATTAATTTTTTACTCTGCTTTCCTCATTTAAAAGATACTTTTGAAGCCACTGGGTAGTATATTAAACAATATTGGCTTGGTTCCCTTTGAGTGGAGTATCTGGTGAACTTTTTTTGTCTGTTCTTCCCTCCCTTTCCTGTGCCTTGTCTTGTAAATGCAGGTTTTTCCTTGAACAAAACAACCGGATATTTCAGACTTTGTTGGAGGTGTCTGCCAGTCAAGACAAAACTCTAACAGCAGAGCATGCCCGGGGCATGGGCCTAGACCCCCAAGGAGACCGGAGCTTTCTCCTGGACCTGCTGGAGGCCTATGGCATTGACGTCATGCTGGTCATTGACAACCCTTGTTGCCCATAGGAAGAGGAACACAAGACTGGGAGCCACCTCACGTGGGATGACAGCAGCCTGGAGTTCACCCCAGGTCTCCAAAGGGCCTGATTTTTTATTAAGTTGACACAAAGGAATATTGTTTATACTTTCCAACAAATGTGATTTTTGCAGTTTCCTTTCTGCCCTTTTCCCTGAGGTGAGGTGAGATCACCTTGATTCTGTGTCCTGCCTTGTTAGGATGCTGGAATCCGCCACTTTTTCTCAGAGCAGCTTCTTCTTTGGGTTTGGTCTTAGGAGTTGTATCACTAGGAGTGGGTCAAGCTCTGGAAACTTCGGGATGGATTGTTCAGAAAGCCTGGATGGCCTTTGTCCCTTGATGCATTCAAGAATAAGACAACCATCTTGTCCAGTGTGGCCTTAGATGTTCATCTCCCTACAAGTGATAACCAGACCAGAGGACCTGCCAAGGCTTTCACCAGTTCTGGGAGTCAGTAGTCTCGGGATCTGATCCCTTTTCCTGTTTATTATGGCAACTCTGTGTCTTCTCTGTTGACTTGAGTAGGGACCATGGGGAGGGACAGAAGGATGCTTCTGACACCAAATAGGACAGAATGCTTAACAGAGAGTTGAAAACCAAAATTGTAGAACGAAGCCTTGAAACCTTTCTCAAAGTAACTTAATGGTGGCCACTCAATAGAATTTTCCCCTTCTCTGAACCCCTCCCCTTGGGATGGGTTGGCAGAGTCCTTAGGGGCAGTGCCAGCCTTAGCACTTGCAAGCAATTCACTTTGCAATTTAGTCTCTTTTAAGGGCTAAATATCCTCTTGGAATAATTTGAGTATTTTTAAAGAGTAGCTTTTGGGCCACCAGAGGGTAGAGTGGTTGAGGTCTGAATGGACTAGAGAAGCAGTCTTAATTTCTCCGTGTAATGAGAGTTCTCTGGAGGCAGGACCAGCCTAGCCTCTGGAGCAGTATAGATGTCCAGGATTCTGATATCTAGCAAGGATCTGAGCTGTTAGCTCAGAGGGTGGAGTGTGAAGTAATAAGACTGGCTGTCACTTTGGAGCTCTCAAAAAACAAACTTTTCATTAGCAGAGATATGACATTCCTTAGGCTAAGTAATTGGGTCTAGAGACCTAACAAGATTTGTTGAGAAAATTTGACAGTGCCTTCACCCAGGAAAGTGGTCAGGAACCAGAGTGTCAGGGAAGTATTTATCCACTTTCCTCTGAAGTGTTCTGGTCTGGGGTGAGTCCTCTTGCTACCTGTGTGTCAGCTGGCATCTTAAAGGATGGCAGCTTCAGTGTTTGTCAGCCATTCCAAAAGCCAGCATCTGTGAGTGAAATTTAGGCCTTTTTGGCCATGGTTGAGGATTTTGGCGGGATACTGGGTTGTTGGTGACAAATAAACTCTTCCTCTTTACCCTTCCTGGCCAGTTCTGATACTGGAGCAACCTTCGATGCATCTGTATCTGTGGCCAAGACCCAGTCAGGCTAATGTACACAGCAGGGAGGAATAACCTTCAAACTGATGGATCACACGCCTCATCTCAAAATGAGGTTCTTAGGGCTTACTGTTTTATTCAAAAGTCTCCTCACTGTAGCTCCTTGATATGGAACTCAAGACCGAAGAAATTCACATGTATGGAAAAGCAAATAGATGTTGCTTAATCAAGGTGGCAACTTTATGTAAATATATAAATAAGTTGGGCATTGAAATGTAAATTGTATGGTTAATACATTTTTCTCCTCTGCCGTGTGGTTTTAACCATCATTTCAGTAGTATATATGTTTACAAAAGAAAAAAATTTGTGTGTAGAGGCCGAAATTTCACCTTTTTTCTTCCTTACGAACAACCCCCTCCTTCTTCCTTTCAAGGGTTGAGGGGGACTTCCTGGTGTTGGTCAAGTAATGGTCACTTTTGGTGGTGTCCTAAGGTCCAGGGAGTGGGTGGTCAGAGGCAGGAGTAGGGGTGAAAGGGAAGGCCCCGATTCTCCTGGAGGACATAGGCAGACCCTCTTTCTCTGGGACTGGAGAATGTACAGGAAGGATGCTGTTTTAAGCATTTCTGTCCCAGAGTCCTCTGCATGCACACACGCTGGTTTCCTGCACTGTCTTAACTGTAAGCTCAGAAGAGCTGATGTAAAGACAGCAGGGTGAGAATGCATCTCCTGTCATTTCCTTTGAATGGTGAGTCAGGGCTTCTTGGGTCTTCCCAACTTTGTGTTTTCTGGGTAGCTGTCTTATGTCTCCATGTGTCCACCCTCACACTCATTCAGAGGGTCAGGGTGTGGGGTGGCCCGAGGGAAATGTGCCAGTGAAGCAGTGCCATGCCTTAGGTCTAGGGGCCTGGGTTCTGCTAAAGCAGAACTCTCCCTTTAAGAGGGAAGCCAAGGAACCAGTCCTTCCATATCTTGCCAACCCCTTGTGAGGACCAGAAATCACACATAGAGCCCCTGCTCTGCGGAATGGCATGTGTTCTGTCTTTGGGTACCTTGCTGCTGTTCGTTGTCCTCAGAGTAAGTCTCACCTGGTTGTGAAGTGGAGCCTGTTGCACCCAAGAGCACTTTCTGAAGGCTCGCTGTGTGCCAGGCTCTGCTCCCCACATGGGAAGTGAGCAGGCACAGCCCCGTGGCATTTCCTGCCAGTTTTTTACAAGGGAAATTTGTTTTTAAAGTGGCAAGCAGGGATCCTCCTACAGTGATGCAAGTTAACTGCGACATGGGCCTGCACTTCTGTCCCTCTTAAAATCTTTTCTGGGAAACCATCTGTTTTTGTTCAGATCTTGGGGAATGTCCCTCATGGCCCTCCAGGTCTATAAGCTGTTTAGGGGCAGACATCATTGCTACCATCAGCCTCCCAGAGAAGGCTGGACACCTAGGGTGCTGATGTCCCCTCCTGCCCGGCCTAAGCTGCACAGTCCTCCTGGGGAGCTGGAAGCCTGATCTCATACCACGCTGTGAACCATGGGCTAACTCAGAAATACTTGCTGACCTGTGATGCTGGGGCTGCTCTGTCACTCTTGAATTGGTTAGAAGAAATTTCGGGTGGCAAGATTCCTCGTGGGGACTAGAATCCAGGCTTGGCATTTGTTGGTATCCATGTACAGTAAGACAAAGAAAGGCCTGGCATGTACACTATAACAAATATGAAGAAGATGTTTTCAGTTTTGTAGGCTCAGCAGATGCTTTTACTCAGCCTTTGGGAAGATGTCCCGTAGTCCCCTGGCTTAGGACTCTTTGTCTGCAAGGAGTTAGAAATGGTAGGGCTTATCTCCCACCATACTAAAAAGTATGGGCCAAATAGTATGTCTAGAATTCGCTTTGGCTTTAGTTAAACATGAAGCATTCCAATGTCAGTGTACCACCTGGGGTCCACGAAGTCCTCAGTCCATTATGACTACAGTGAGTTAGAAGGCTTTCACTTCTTGTATCCATTTTTCATGATGGCATCCCTTGAATCTGGCCAGGGGAGGGACGCTGAATTCACTGGCATATCAACAGAAATAATTTAGCTTAGGAACTTGGCATCTATAACTTACCTTGTTTTGTTCCATGTGAAGATCAAGACAAGAAAGTTATGAGTAACACAGGTACAGATCATTCCAGATGCCATATGTGAAGGTTTGTTTAACATGTAATTACCTATGATATTTTAGCTAGAAGAGAAACTAAATCATAGCTAAACTATTGTTTTTCATTCTGGAGGCTATGAGGATGAATTTGCTGTCTTGATAAACGGAACGCCCTTCAACTACAAGAAATGAAATCATGTACCTTTAAACAGAGGCCTTCAGGGAACCTTTTGTAAAGGGCAGTAATGAATTAACCATTTAGTAGTAGGACATCAACCCTCCGAAGATAGGCAGGGACCCAAGGGACCGTTCATTTTTTTTCCCTTTGAGACTGCATAGCCGAGAGAATGAATTGAGATGTTTTCTCCAGTGTAGGTCATCACTGGAGAAGTCAAGGAGTGGCTGAACCAAGTGATAATGCTCAGCTTGACAGTGAACTTGGCTCAGTGTGGTGACAGTTCTAAAATGGGCAAGAAACTTAATGTGGGAACCAATCTGCTAGGCATGGGCTTGTATCTCCGTTAGGTCCCAGGCTGGTGGGCTTGGAGTGTGTGACATGTCCAGCCCTCCTGCTCTCCTTATAGTTGCACCCTGAGGTGGAAATTCTGTGATTCCAGTCCTATCCCCTCTCATTGCAGGAAAATGCTTTTCTGATTCAGGTAGGGGGAGAAAAGGAGTTAAGGACTCCCTTGACTCCCAAGTCATGGGTTTTTAATATTCCACTTTTATTACTTATATACCTCTATTCCCAGAAGCTACTGGAGCATTGAGTGTTGTGGGAAAAGGCTAACTGTGAATTAAGTTAATGTTTTTCTTATAAGAATTGGAAGTTTATTTTTATATTGATATTACTATGTGATGAACTGAGTATGCACATACTGAAATGGAAGGAAATTTATAAGACTATAATCCTAGAAGAAATGGGCAGTTTTGTAATTGGGTAGCAGCCGAGGCCTCATAGAAGTTTGACTGTGTGTAAATGTTTTGGAGAGTGAAAAAGGTTGTGCTGTGAAACCTTGACAGCATTCTTTAGAAGATGAACTTGGCAGTCCTAGGAAGGATGACATACAAACACCAACCTCAAGTAAAACTCTAGTAAAAGAGGATAAATGTGATCCTTAGACCTCTCAGTCAGCTGGAGAGAGATGGGAGTAGGAAGTAGTTTCATAACAGGCACTTTAATTCATTTTTGGAGCTGGAATTTAGGGGCAGTTAGATGAAATTGCAAATTTAGAAAGGGAATAGAATTTTTTAGTGTTATATAGAGAAATGATGATGGAGAAAAAAAGCCCTGCTTTCATCTTTTTAGAATTTATCCTAGAATCTTAGCTTAGCACGGGCTTTTAGAGTTAATATGACCTAATTTCAGAAAATTTATTTAATTTCTATAGTAGGATAGGTGTGAAGTACTTATGTTTGCTGTAGTATGCTCATCTAGACTAATAATACATTTGTTTTGCTTTCTAAGGACACTTGGGGAATGTGGGGTAAGGTCGGGTGTTATAAATTAGCAGGAGATGATTCATAAAATGAAAAATCCACACAGAAGCAACTGAGTGAGATGGTTGCAAATATATTTAATTGACATTAGTGTGAAAATTTCTTCCTTTGGTTAAATTAAGCAAAGAAAAAATATTTAAAACATTGTTAAGGTAGTATTTTGGGGGGGAAAAATTTGGGGTCTAGCATGCTCACAAAGACTGTCAGTGAAGAATGGTGGAGTTCCTGTTTCCAGATGGATGACTTCAGGGGTAGAGCAGAAGAAAACAGAATGAACTCCCTTTGTTTACCCAAAGCTTGTTGACTCAATTTTTGTATAGGTCTGGGAAATACACCTCTCCTGAAAAATAGTTATAGCCTTAGAAACACTCTTATCCTATTTTTTCTGAGTTAGGATCAGCGTAGCCTCCCTGTCGCCTTAAGTGTAAAAATCCTATTTTGATTAATACCCCAGCATCAAAGATATAGCAGTAAAAGAAACTAAGTCTATTTTTATTTTGAGTTTTACCTCATATTATGAAATTAGTAAGACCATTCATAAATTTTGCCCTAACTACTAGCATATACAGCTGTGTCGTGCTCGCTTACTCTGTTTCCAGTGGTGATCATTTTAAGGCCTAAAGAAAGCTGGGTTAATCCTGAAGCTAAGATACATGTTTCTTGAACTGATTCTGTTCTGTGGTACAAACAGCATCCATGTATACCATATCTGTAAATACCTGAACCAAGTTGTGTGCAGAGAGGTTGATATACCATTATTTACAGAAAACGATTTTTACAATTAAAGCTCACATTTTAACATGAACATGTGTGCTGCAGTCCTTTCTCTAGTCTAAGAAAGGCGGTTTGTGTAGGAAGAAATGGTGGCCCACCCCACAAGCGGAGCCCACGGGGCTGGATGCTGACTACACTTACAGTGATGATGGAGATCAGGGAGCTGTTACCTGTCCTTCTGGAGGCCACAGTCTGGACAGATGTTCTCCAGGTAATAGGATCCAAGGTTGGACATAACTACACCTCACAGAAGTCCCAGGATGGTGCACCTTCAGTCCCATCAGGAAACTTCTCAAACCGCACGGAAACAGAACCCCTTTGGTTTCACAAAATCTCTTACCAAAGTTTAGTATAAAATATTATGCCTTGATGTGTGTGTATTATAAACTTTTGTTTCCTTTAATAGGTTAAACCTTTTAGGGAGTTAACAGTATTTGTTTAGAACCATTATAAGCTGCTACCATTAGTGCCTCCAGAATCAAATGGCCTGTATTCAAAGCCAGGTTCCTACTTTCCAAGCTATGTGACCATATAGTATTACAGGCTGAGTATCTCTTTTGAAATGCTTGGTTGCACTACAGAACTGAAAGTCAAAATTCTCTGATGGGCACTTCCTTTTAGCATCATGATGGCTCAAAAAGCTTCACACTGTGGAGCTTTTCAGGTTAGGGGTGTTCAGCCTGTGCCTACTTCCTAGCATTGTTGTGAGAACTCAGTTGCACATGTAAAGCACTGACACTTAGTAATTAGAACCATATGTGCAAATATGTGCATGCCAGTCTTGGAGCAAAAGAAAAAAGCCATATATTAAAACTATCTCTAGTAGAAAGCATCTACTATATTTTTTAATAGAAATAACCTTCGCTTTTGAATGAAATCAGTCTGTCAAGAGGTTTGCAGTAAACAGGAGGAGGAGGAGGAGTTTTGTTCTCACGGATGGCTCAGTATCCCAGCTCTGGCTGACAGACTCTCTTAGCTGTTTTGTTGAGTGTCTTCTGTGTGGGTATATACAGGACGGTGCAAAGAACAAAGCAACAGACAATAAAGAAGCCAAGCCCTCACGGAAAAGGGCCTGAATCAAGAAAGCAAAATGTGAAACTTGGCATATTTATATTTTTTAATGGATAAGATTCTTAATGTGGGCTCAGTGTCCTTCACTAATCATGTCTACCATTAGGATTAGACTCACATGAATTAGACTGGCATGAATTAGACCATTAGATTAACACACATGAATGCAGACCGGCAGACTTCTGAGGAGGAAAAAAACCAGATTCTGCACTGTCCTCTACGTTGCTACAGACCATAGTGTGCTACATTCTCTCAGCTGACATAGAAACTTATATTTTCTTAGACCATAGCATCCTTCCTTGCTCCATGGTGTGGGATGGGTGATCTTTATGCTGATGTTTGGACTCACCTGTTATGTTTTTGCTAAAAACAAAGACTTTATCACACCCTGAGTACAATGCTAAATAACAAAGCCTGATTTTGTCTTCATTTATGGGCTTTTAGTAGCCGCTCTATCAACCTTTAAAGTGTTGGTTTTCCCTCTCCAGTAGGTAGGGCAGTGTACGGACTCTACCTTAAAATGGATCTGCCTGAGAGGGAGCCTGTGGTAAGGCTTGCTGGCTGTCTCATCCTTTTTTCCATGGTGCACTGCCCTCTAGAGTATAAGAATCTCAGGGACACCACAAAGGACAAAGTCAGCTTGGTGGCTCAGCCTGTAATCTCGCGCTTTAGGAGGCTGAGATGAGTGGATTGCCTAAGCCCGCAGGTTCAAGACCTGGGCAACTTGGTGAGACCTCATCTCCACAATAAATCAAAAAATTAGCCGGGCGTGGTAGCGTGCGCCTGTAGTTCCAGTTACTTGGAAGGCTGAGGTGGAAGGATCGCCAGAACCCAGCAGGTTGAGGCTGCGGTGGCCGGGAGCGGCCACTGCACTACAGTCTGGACGACAGAGTGAGGCTCCAACTCAAAAAAAAAAAAGTAAACACTGCTAATGACTGGCTAACAGAGCCTCAGCAAGTCAGGTGGTTTTTAGTTCTCTGCTTTCAACAAAGTAAAGGAGGTTCTAATTAAGTTGTTAGTTGATGGATCATTCTTAATAATCTTTGATGATGGAGCACTGTGATTTTTGTCTTGTAACTCCAAAGGTATTCAAAGAACTGCATGACATTGTTATAGTACAATTCTTTCTGTTCCTAACTATTTATTTATGTGCTTACATCTATAAAGATATCAAATGAATATAATTGATGTTGAGCCCCATTTCAGCTATAAATAACATTCAAGTATTCTTGGATAAATGAACTAATTAGGATAAAGAACATTCTAATAACATGTTAATTTTTAATCAAAAATTAGAATATTTTCATCAATTATATACCATAATTATAACATTTGTTCTGTACTGAGAACACAAAGCAAGAACTAAACAAATTTATTTCCATTTATATTTTTTGTTGGTGAGATGATGAGGTAATTGATTTTTAAATGTCAAGCATAAAAATAGATTACATTATGATAAGATTCTTTGCTTAAAGTGGCATGGAAATACAGAAAGATAAAAGTCAGTTTAACAATTTGCAACTACTAAACGACTAGTTCATTTATTATTATAAATCAATGAAGGATGTCAAATTACTATGAAATTTAAGTTACACTGGCTATGTTTAAGAGAGTAATGTAACAATTTTTATTTTAAAATAACAATATTTATACAACACCAGAAAGTATATGCTTTGGCAGCTGCTTAACTTCCATGAAAAATTTTAGATACCAGCTTAGATGTATGAGGGGATACATGATTTCCCAAAAACTTCTGGGAGGTGCATGAGCAGAATAGTTTGGAGACTACTGTTTAAAACACTGTTTCTCTAAGTATGGTTGAGGGATCTCTTATAGGAGCACCTGGGAAGGGTGGCTGGATTTTTTTTTTCAATGCAGATTCCTGGGCCCCATCCCCAAATTGAGTAATCAGGTTTGAGATGGATCCCAAGTAAATCCGTTTTTAACATGCACCCAGGTAGTTCTCATGCAAATCATTTAAGAAGCACTACTTTAAAAAAATATACTAGCATTTTACAGTATTGTAGCCATGGTGGAAGAGGAAGACAACCGCACGCATGTTTCAGGATTGAGGACAGAACCAAAGCAGAAGCTAAATAGGAAGCAGAGCTCACAAAGCAGCAGCACCCCAGAGGAGCCTAAAAATAGGAAAAGGCAGCTGGGGAAGGCAGGCACTGCCCCTGGAATTCCTAGGACTGTCAAAGAACAGAATGAGAACAGAGGAGCCTGATCTAAGGATCCTGCTCTCCACTATAGTTGCACTTTGGGAGAAAACAAAAGAAAACCCCTTTCCATCCACTGAGTGTGAAAACTTTCTTGAAGCAGCCTAAGGAAAATCAGTATGTAGGATGGCCAACCATCACACCAAAACAAAAGCATGCACTCACGGAAAGCTGACTGCAAAGCGAGTGGCAGCATACACTTTGGGAAGCACTACTCGGGGAGGACGGAAGGTCCCTTGCCATAAAAAGGCCCTTAGGGTCCTCTGACAACACAGTTGAGACAGTTGAGGCACCTGTTTCCTTTTGGTCCCATGGGTGGCCTGGAGTGCAATCCTGGAGCACCCGTCCTCTGCCCACTCACTGGGCTGTGCTCTGCAGCATCTGTTCTCTCTTCCTGGGATCACAGAAGAACTGCAGTTTCCTGGGGAGCAGTTTCACTTCCACAGGCATTGCCTCATACTCCTCACTGTCGATGCTAAAGGAGCCCACTGTCCCCTGCGGAGAAAAGGCAGATCAGCTCACATCTAGCTCAGTGGACTACTTGAGTTGGAAATCTCAACACACAAGCACCAGAAGGTCATTACAGCAAACATCATTCTCTCTCAGGATTTATCCTATTGTTTGTTTCATTTTTTTATCATAAAGATATGGGGTACAATCAGGGTCAGGTAGACAAATGTTGATTATGCAGGTACCCTTGTTGATGAGGTTTGCCCCTCCCTCCCCTAGCAGTTTCCCTCAACTGCCAATCTCACCCCCACTCCCCTGACAGTTTCCCACTACTGCCAATCCCTTTCTTATAGTAGTATAATTGTTTGATGTACACTTATGAGTGAGAACATATGGTACTCTGTTCTTTGTTTCTGTGATAGATCACTGAGTATGATTGACTCTAAGTCCATCCAAATTGCTGCAAAGTCCACGTTTGTCCTTCTTTATGGCTGTATAATATTCCATTGTGTATATGTACCACATTTTTTGTTTTTAATATACCAGTGCTATGATGGGCACAGTGCTGGTTCTGGAAAAATCCCAATTCTACCATCCATGAAAAAGGGTTTCTCAGTAGCTGGGAGTGGTGGTGCTTGCCTGTAGTTCCAGCTACTTGGAAGGCTGGGGTGGATCACCTGAGCCCAGCAGGTAGAGGTTGCGGTGGCTGTGAACGTGCCACTGCACTCCAGCCTAGGCGACAAAGTGAGACTCCAATTTTTAAAAAAAGGATTTCTTTCTTTTTGTGGCTCCTATCTCCCAGAGGATTTGAGCAACATGGTTATAATTTTTAAATATTTATTAAAAGGTAGGGGTTCTGCCACATCTTTAAGGAATTCATAAATATATAGCCCTTCTTGGCCTTAATCTTTCTCAAATGAAAAACAAGACTGCTAATTCTCTTATGAAAGCCATTATAACTACTGGATCATTTTCTTTATTCTCTAAGATTTGCTTATACCTAAGGCATATTAACATTAATATCATTTCAGAGTCCAAGAAACCCTTCCATAACATGCATTTAATTCATATTTGCTATGTTGAAACCGCGGTGCCAGGCATCATGGGGATACTGTCTGTTTACCTACCATCTTGCTTGAATATGTCACTTAATGGCTACAAACCTTCAGAGACTACCTGTACAGCCTCTTTTTTTCAAGGTATAACTAAACTTGCAGTTGATTCTATTTCTACTTTTTCTTCCCACTTTTTTAGGTTATTCTAAGTTTGGCAGAAAAATTCAGTGCTGAACTGAAAACTGCTTCCAAATCCTTTATAAAAAATGTTAATGTAAAACCCATGATTAATATTTGCCAGATAGAGAACTCTCTGCATTTTAATACAGTAACCTTTTGTATTATTTACATATGGAAAATAAAAGCTCAGGAGACCTTGAAGTCACTTTAAGGAAGAACTTTGGCATGAAAACAATGGAAGTCTTCAGGAGCCCCGCTCTAACTCCATGACTCTGACAGATTCTACCATCCTTTTTAGGTCTCCTAACAGGGCCCAGAGCCTGGCAAAGTATTTGGCACATAATAGGCACCTACATGTTGGTCAGTTAATAGAGAGGAAGGAGGGAAAAACAGTAGAAAGGCAGGGAGACCAAGAAAGAACCAAACACCCTGAGACAGCTTGTTCCTGACCCTCCCCACTCACCTCCGGCAGAAGCAATGCACACTGGCTGGCCTGGAAGCATGTGGTACCATTGGCACGCAGCTCAGGGTCTCTCACCTTTCTGCTTCTGTTGGTACAGGAGAAAGCCAGTGTGAAACCAGGATGGCAGCTGCATCAGGATGCAGCAACAGAGTTCCTTCCCGCTCTTTATGAGGTTAAGTAAGTGGACAGATGGCCAATTAAGCCATGGAGTTCTGTGTGTGATTTTTCCCATAATGATTCTTGCTTAGCACTGTGATCTGTTCCATACTGAGAAGGCTGACTTACTACAGAGAACTGTGCGTGACGTTAAAACTCAGGGACTTCTCCTGAATTGTTCCTCATTTTTAAATTGTTCCACACGGACCTAATTCTTAGGCTGTTAATCTCAACTTTAAAAAATAGAATAGAAGTCTTTAGAAAAAGAACAAAACTTCTGTTGTTGTGCTTCTTGTGATTCTTTATACTTGAAGGAGAAGACAGTTTTATTCTAATTTAAAGGAGAAGCATACTTCTTTTATGTATACATATATAAACAACTAGTCTTAGAAGTTCTCCGCTTTTACACTGCTGGTGGGAATGCAAACTACTACAACCTCTTTGGAAGACAGTGTGGCGATTTCTGAAATAACTAGAAATTGACCTTCCATATGACCCAGCAATTCCCCTATTGGGAATATACCTGGAGGAACTCAAATCATTCTACAAAAAAGATACCTGCACACATATGTTTGTTGCAGCTCTATTCACAGTAGCAAAAACATGGAACCAACTATGTTGTCCATCAAAGCTGAACTGGGTAAAAAAATTGTGGCACCTATACACAATGGAATATTATGCAGCCATAAAGAAGGACAAACATAGGGACTTCACAGCAACTTGGATGGGTTTGGAGTCGATCATACTCAGTGATCTATCACAGAAATAAAGAACAGAGTACCATATGTTCTCACTCATAAGTGGACCTTGAACAATTATAATACTCTAAGAAAGGGATTGGCAGTAGTAGGAAACTGTCAGGGGAGGGGGAGTGGGATTGGCAGTTGAGGGAAACTGCTAGGGGAAGGAGGGGCATACCTCATCAATAAGGGTACCTGCATAATCAGTGTTTGTCTACCTAACCCTGTATTGTACCCCACATCTTTATAATTTAAAAAAAAAGTTCTCAGATTCCCTATACAGCCATTCCTATCTGTGGGTCCCACTTCCAAGGAACAGAGGATCAAAAATATTTTTTTTTAAACTGCATCTGTACTGAACACGTACAGACTTTTTTCTTGTCATTATTCCCTCAACGATACAGTATAACAACTATTTATATAGCATTTACACTGTATTAGATGTTATGCAAATAATATGCCATTTGATCCAGGAACTTGAGTATCTATCTGAATTTTGGTGTCTGAGGAGGTCCTGAAACCAAACCCTTGGGGATACAAAGGGATGACTGTACTTATATTAACAGTCTATTTTGCATACTAAATCTTTACCTTGACTAAATGGCTATGAAGTAGAACTTCCTGATACATACACACATACAGACACACACTCCACTTCATGCATATACCCTTTATAGCTAATCATGGGAAGCAGAAGAATAAAGCTAATCCAAGTAAATTAGTAATTTATCATTCATTGACAACAGTAATTCTTTATAATACAAAACTGTCATCAGTTTCGAAAGCAACTTCAGTGTTCTCTTCAGATATCCAGAGGAAACAGACATGACTTTATTTCACTTCCTGTAGGGACCAAAAGGGCAAGGTGGTGGTGGTGCTGCTACTGCTGCTAACAATACGAAACATAATGGCTTTGCCTAACTTAAGCAATATAGTTGGGTTCTCCTTCTATTTGGGGGTGGAAGTATTATAAAGAAGATTGGACTATAGCTGGTCTTACTGGAAAGACTCAATTAAGACAGTGTGTGGTTTTGGGATACGCGGTAGGAGAAAGGACAGGCTTTTTCCTTCTTCCCTTTACTCCAGATAGAGCAAATAAATCAAAGACCATAGAATCAGCTATTTGGCAGCTGAAGAATTTATACCAAAGGTGAGAACAACACAGACTAATGAAAACCATTCTGCTGCCGGTGCTGGTGTAGATAACGGAGTAGCCATGGAGACCAGAAGGCCTCAGCAGAAATGTCAGATCCCTAAATGAGCACAAGAGGGAGCTCTGAGACAAAGCACAGAAAGCGGGAGGCTAGCAGATGACCAGTTGGCATGGGAACACGCCCGCTCTTCACATGCTCTGGAGGAGCTGTTGTGGAGGAGTTGCAGTGTTCTTAACCAATGAAATTCTGGCAGACGCAGGGCTTAACAAATCAGACAGGACTTGGAAGAGTATTTTGTACGGGAAAAGGACAAAAGACCTGGGAAATGTCCAAGATATTCAATACTTTTTCAAGTTTCTCATTAACACCCTGGGAAGGGGAGGACAAGGTGAACTGACATGAATCATGCATACTGTGAAGTGCTTCACAATTTAAATAGACTTTTCACACACATTGTCTCACTTGAGACCGAAATCATCCCTGAGATTGGTAGAGATGATTATATTATTCCATTTTATAATGGGGAAAAGGATTCAGAGGTGCTAAATGATCTGAGTCATGACGTCAGTAAGTGGCAGATTCAAAATCTGTATTCAGCTCTTTGACCCTGAAACCAAAGTTCTTGATACTATGCCATGCTACGCTGAATTCTTTCATTTCACTTGAAAGGCAAAGACTAAGCTTACATTCTGATCTTCCCCAAATGACAGCGATGGCCAATGCAGGAGGGGGCAGTAAACATACCAGCCCACAGGAAAAAGAGAATGTTAAAATTCCCAAACAAGACAAAGCCTTCATTGGATCTGTCTTAGATTTCATGGGACACTCTGAGTAGTAAAGTCTGAAAAGACAAACCATTTAAGCCTATTTCCTACAAACCCCAGTACACTTACCCTATAGTTATAAAGTCTCCTTTGCTGACCGTGTCAGGTTCAATGCAAATGTTCATAAAGTCTTCTTTGTCCTAAAAAAATTAAGAACACTAATTATTACTCTTAAAAGTTTGGTTAAGGCAGCCTGTTGTCATCCTCAGCTTTGGAGGTTCATATTTTTAAGCTATGCATTATATAGGAGACTTTACTTCTAGTGATTTAATTCTGAATATATGTGCAGTCCTTTCTTTCACTAATAACTTTACTGAGCTATAATTTACATAAAATTCATCTCCATTGCTTGGTTTTGTTTGTTTTATTTTTTACTAAGTGCTTTTTATAAAATAAAAATATAGGGTAGAAGGTTTTGGAAGTTCTGTCACTTATTAGTAATCACAGCTCTTCTTGTCTCTAGTATTCCTGCCTTCCCTTTAGGCCAAGCACTCTGCCCATCTATTCCAGCAATTCTCAATGCTCCTAAACATCAGTTCCATGGCAGGTCTCAGTATCAGCTGCTTGGTGTGGAGAGCTCAGGTGTCTGTGTCTTTATATGTTCTACATACAAATTTGGTATGTAAGCAGAGTTGAAAGACAGCGATCCATTTAATTTATGATAATATTTAAAACTTTCCATTTCCAACCACAGAAGCTCTGGAAGATTTGAGCTACAAGAAAGTAGCTATAAAAACAGACTGGGTTCTTGTACCACTCCTCACAACTGATACCAGTCAGTGGCTAGCAATGCAAACCTAGCCCTCTGTCAATCAATCAAAACTTCTGTGTCATTACCAAAGAGAGTTCTTATTTCTTTTTGGGTAGGTTCAAAATCTGTAGCCCCAGGATTAACTCACAGGCCTCTGAAAGCCTAAAGCCTCTGCCTAAGATTAAAGGGTACTATTAGAGAACAACTATATCCCTGAACTAGGAATCACAAAACATCAAGTGGATGGCTTTGCTTCAAGTTCACCTTTTATTCAACTACTTAAGTGGCAACCATGCAGCATGAACTCTTCAAGGTTGCTTGGGTTATGTTGATGAACAAAACAAACATGAATTTCTGTCTGCAAAGAGCTTACTTTCTATCAAATCATAATAAAATAGTAAATTATAGACTATATTAAAAGATAAGTATATCAGAAGTGTATCAGAGTATAGAAAATAAGAATAAATAGATCAAAGAACATGAGGTGGCACTGATGGTAGGGGTGACATTGTTTAAGGGGGCCAGTTGAGGTGACCCCTGAGCAGAGACCAGAAGGAGATGAAGGAATCAGCAAGGTGGACATCTAGGGCAGTGCTTCTCAAACTCTAGCAAATGTCACCAGAGAACCTGGTAACTCAGACTCTGTTTTTTGTCAACTAAAAAATAAATACAATTTTAAAAATTCAGATTCTGGTCCCATACCCAGTTTTTGGTTCAGTAAATCTGGGGAGAAGCCCAAGAATTTCCATTTCAAACAAGTTCCAGGTGATGCTGATATTGCTGATCTAAAGACCAGAATGAGGACCCTGATTTAAGGATGAGTGAGCCATACAAAAGGAACACTGGAGCACAAGCTTCAGGGTGGGAACATGCCTGATGCATGTAAGGAAGCCTGTGTGGCTGAAGCAGAGTGAGTGACAGGAACAACAGCAGATGAAGATGACAGAGAAGGAGGAGAGGAGCGAATCAGTAGGCCACGTAGAAGCATCTGGCTTTCAGACTGAGTGGAACAGAGAACCACCTGAGGGCTCTAAGGAGCGAAAGATGCTCTGGCTTCACTTTCATAGGATCACTCCAGCTGTTGTGTTGAGACATAAGATAGGAGCAATACTGGAGAGGGAGACTGTGAGCCAGGTGATAACATCATAGAGAAGTGAATAGGAATGGCCTGGGGATTGAGAGATACCAGGAACTATTGTCTGGTCTGATGACAGTACAGTGAAAGGTGGGAGAGAGTGTTAGAGGGAAGAAGGAATAATGCTTTAAAGTAGTGACAGAACTACCCAATCACTAGGCCCAATGCAAGCAGACAAAGGAAAAGAAAATGAGCCACCACTGCAAGGTGCTGCAGGGAAAGCAGAGCTTTCAGGAGAGCCACACTCCAGCTCCAAGAGGGACTAGGGCTCTATACAGGGCCAGAGTGAACATTCTAGGCTTGCAGACTATGAGTCCTATCACGGCCACTCAACTCAGTCTTGGCGCCATAAAAGCAGCCAGAGAATACTTAAATGATTAGTATGCCTGTGTTCCAGTAAAATTTTACTTATGGACACTGAAATGTGGTGTTCATATGACTTTCACATATAATAGAATAATGATGCTTTTTTTCAACTATTTAAAAATGTGAAAGACATTCTTAGCTTGAGGGTGGTACAGACTCAAGTAGCAAGACAGTTGGGTCTATGGCTGTCCTGGTTTGGCTCCTGTTATTAAGCTTTGTTCTGGAGACACCATTGAGATCCTTTGAGGTTAGTCATTTAGCTTTGTCAGGAGCGAACAGAGTAGCCTTTGGTCTACAACCAATTTTGACCCATTACTGAGGCAATACCTTTCTGAAGACACTACCCAGTGCCCATGTCTGACAAGGATTTTCCACTCCAGCTGGTTGGAACATGAACTATTTCTGGCCCCATAATATGACTGAATCTCCTGGGATTGTCCCACCTGCTCCTTGGTGGTTCTTTCTCCACCTCAGGTGATTTATTGCATGTACTCACCAAGAAGTGCTCATCCAAACACTCCAGAGGAACTTTCTAAAAGTCTCCAGCTCAGTTCTCAGTATGGCTTTGTTTCCATGCATCTCTCTAGTATTCTGCCCTGCAATTCTAGCTGCCTCGATTGCCCAAAATTCTCAAAAGCCACCTAACTGAGGGAGACCACTGAGCTCTGTTTGGGCTCCTGCCCCCGTGCTGTGGCCTCTCCAGCAGTAAGGTTCCGGTGCAGAGCTCACCTTGTTTGGGATCTCTAGGCTCACTGTCCTATATTGCTTATTTCCTACCAACGTCTGTCAGTACTGTTTTCTAGATTTTGTTCAGTTCTTAAGGTGTTGCTTGATGCTCCATCTTGGCCAAAAGTCTCATATTAACATCCAAAAATCAATTCATTTTATTGCACTGACAGATTAAATGAGAGAACCTTTTCTCAATAGATGCTAGAGAGGTACTTGATAAAATTAAATATCTAGAATATTTAACATGAAAGATGAAAACTCTTAGCAAACTGAGAATAGAAAACAACTTCCTTGATCTGATAAAGGGTATCTGCCCAAGTAAGTAAACAAATAAATAAACCCATCAAATTCAAAATGAAGCAATGAAGTCTTTCCCTACAAATCAGAAATAAGAAAGATGTTGACTCCTGTTATCACTACTTCTATTCAACACTGCACTGAAGTCCTAGCTAGTGCAGTAAGGCAAGACAAGGGACTGTAAGAACAAGTATTTGAAGGGAGAAAACAAAATTTGTACTATTTGCAATTGAAATGACTAAATCTATAGAAATTCTGAAAGAATCCATAGAGAAACAATGTAATTAATAACAATTTAATTAGGTTGCTGATTCAGCATCAATATAACAAACAATCATATGTCCATCTACTAAATCAGATAGAAAATGAAATTTTAAGAGATAACTATCTACAACAGCATAAAAAAATTAAGATAACTGGGAATGTGTCCAGCAAAGACAGAATGTTATAGAGAAAACTATAAAACTTTACTGAAAGACATTGAAGATCTAAATAAATAAAGAGATATACCACGTTCATATGCTAGAAGATTCAATATTGTAGAAATGTCATTTCTCCTCAAATTGATCTATGAGTATAATGTAATCCAGATCAATATTACAACATTTTCATGTGGAATTTAATAAAATAAACATTCTAAAATATTTATAGAACCCAAATAAGCTTAGAATAGCCAAGAGGGTCTTTAAAAAAAAAGACATAAAGGAATTTATTATAAAACCATAATAATTATGAGAAGCAGAGAACTAGTGAAGTATAAAAAACTAGACCAACAGAAGAGAGAGACTAGAAACATTTGCATGTATATAGACATTTGATGTATGGCAGAGGTTTATTGAAGATCAATGGGGAGGAGAAGGGACATTTCAATAAATGGTGCTTGGACAACTGAATTTCTATTTGGAAAGAATATAAGATTGGAGCTGTACCTCCATCATTCGCAAAACTCAATTACAGATAGGAGTATTTCCTCTTGAAACAAAAGTGGAACTATTTGAGGCAAATCCTTTTAGTCTGGTTTTTCTTTCCATGTCAATAAATATGTTATTTTAAATAAATATATACTATTTTAAATAAATGTTCCAAATTTATTTCATGAGTCTGATTAGTTGGGGTTTTTTACTATTGTAAATACAGTGAACACAGTTGTACAAGACAGCCTGACTTTCACACATTCTACACTCCTCCAGCTTCTTTCACACACTGAATGCACTTCTTTTAATGATAAGCGAACATTCTGAGCTCTGACATGGTAGCTTCATTGTCTTCGAATATTTTATTGGATTTGCTTTTATTTTTACAAAGACTTGTGGAAAAAAGAAAAAAAATGAAGGTGCTGCTACTAATGATAAGAAGCACAGTATCATACACTTTTGTAATTGGCACAAAGATAAAAAGCATCTGGCATTCTTAATGTGGCTAATCTGAAGCAGCAATCACATACTAAACTCAATCATTCGTTGGTATTCGGTCATCAGAGAAAAGAACAATGATAAAGAACATGAACAAAATACTGGAAATACGTACTATCAAAGGAAACGTACTATCAAAGAAAAAGAATTAGAATTCTCTTTCTCTTTCAAATTCCTCTGGAACAGAATCTATTTTTCTAACCTTTATATATTCAGTTTCACCAATGCCCGCAGAATCCCGTATGTAAGAAAGTACGGATGCCTACGTTACACAGTCATCAGATTATTTCTGTGGGACAAATTCCTGGAAATACACTTAATAGGGCAATGGGGAAGCACATATTTAGACACTTCACATATACACCAAACTGCCATTGAGATAAGGTGTTCCCATTTATATTCCCCTCAGATACTGTGGGACTGCTCATTTCCCCCTGCACACCAACACTAAATTGTTAATCTATGACAAGTCAATAGATTCAATACTATTTTAATTTGTATTTCTTTGGTCACTTTTTATTTTCTTACCTATAAAATGCAGATAAAGGTGATATCTACCAGATAATGTAGTTATGAGGATTATATAAGTTAATATTACATAAATTTAAAACAGTGCCTAGCATAAATACTCAGCAAATATAAGCTATTCTCTCATATGTTTATTTCTTTTGTGAATTCTCTATTCTTACCCTTGGGCCCATTTATATTAGGCTTTTACCCATCTCTTATTGTATCATAAGAGTTTATTATAAAGAAGGCTATTAATTCCTGGTCTGTCACATGCTAATATTTTTCCCAACTTGTGCTTAAAACTTTATTTATAGTATCTTTTAAAATAAGCATACAAATACATCAATATGATTTTTGCCTTATATATTATGCTTAGAAAGGCCCTGTTCACCTAAGTTTTGATTGATAATCACTTAGATTTCAACCTAGTATTTTAATGATTTTATTATTTTACATTTTGTTCTTTAATCCAACTGGAATTTTTTTTTTAGAAGGTAAAGGAAGCAATGTTGTCCAATGGACATTTATTACTTTTATAATTGGAAAAGAACCCAATACTCTGAATATTAATATTGGAATCAAACTTCTCACTACATTCCAACTCTATTTGCCAATTTTCAGAATGATTGAGATAACTGTGAACAGACTTTGATTTGCATAAAAGTTGAATATAGTAGTTAATCCACAGTTAAGAATGACTTTTTAAATTTGCATTCTCATTAATATAAATGACTAAGGTTTTCTCTAAACCAAGGTCAGTAAACTTCTTCTGTAAATGGTCAGATTGTAAATGTCTCAGGCTTTTGGATCATACAGTCTCTGTTGTAACTACTCTGCTCTGCCATTGTAGCATGAAAGCAATCATAGACAAAATGTATATGAGTGGATATGGCTGTGTTCCAGTAAAACTTAATTTATTCATATTGACCCTTGAATTTGGTATACTTTTCTTATGTCACAAAAAATTATTATTTTTTTGATTCTCTTTGCATTATTTAAAATTAGAAAATCAAGTCTTGACTTATGGCTAAACAAAATTACGTGGCAGACCAGTTTACCAATCCCAGCTTTACTTCAACATTTTTTAGCATATTGTCTATAGCAGCAGCATCCAACAGAAATTTCTGCACTGATGGAAAGGTTTTATATCTGTGATTTTCAATATGGTAGCCACACATGGCTTCTGAGTACTTGAAATATGGTGCGTGTGACTGAGGAACTTAGTTTAAAATTTACTTATTTCTAATTAATTTAAATTTAAATAGCCACATGTGGTTAATAGCTATTGTACTGAACAGCGTATCTATAGACTGGACCCAAATAAAATCAAATGTAAATACAAATGTGGATATATGTGAGTATATATACATATTTGTCTCCTGGAGACATAAATTTACGTATTTTGTAAAGTCTAAAAGTAATTGATAGGCCGAGCACAGTGTCTCATGCCTGTAATCCTAGTACTTTGGGAGGCCAACACAGGAGGATCACCTGAGGCAAGGAGTAAGAAAAAAGCCTGGGCGGCATAGCAAGACCTCGTCCCTACAAAAAAATCAAAAAAATTTTCTGTGTGTGGTGGAGCACACCTGTAGTCCTAGCTACTCAGGAGGCTGAGGCAGAAGGATTGCTTGAGACTGCTTGAGCCTAGGAGGTTGAAGCTACACTGAGCCATGACTGTGCTACTGCACTCCAGTCTGGGCAACAGGCAACAAAGTGAGACTCTGACTCAAAAATAGATAGATAGATAGATAGATAGATAGATAGATAGATAGATAGATAGATAGATAGATAGATAGATAGATGATAGATAGATGATACTGAAGTACAAGTTCCACAATTTTTTATTCCAGTGACAAATAGGAGTGACTAATCTACATTTCTAAAGGCCTCTTGCCCTAAATTCGCTGAAAGTCCATTAAGAAATGAACTAATCAGCACCCCTGGGGCAATTATGGCTTCTTCTCCTTGCTATTATTCCTTAAAGGCATACCACATCCTCTATTTCCTGACCCTTTTCTCTCTCCCCACAGGGTAGAAATAAAAATAACTCAATTAGTGGAAGAGCATGTAGCCTTTGTCACTTTTCTCAGATACCAAATGCTCTTCTAATAAAAAGCATTTTATTATTACTTACTGTCAGGTCAAGCTGACTATTGCGTGTTGTGATAGACAGTTCAATGGTAGACAGCTGTACTTCTTTCCAGACCTCTGGGTTTCTTACCACTTGGGAGAGAGCTGTGGAAATCCATTAGACACAGGTCAATTTCTTCCATTAACATTTCACCACCCACAACCACCAACTAACTGCCAGCTGTTCAGTTCAGCTTCCCAAGCCTTTCTGCTGACTCTCTACCTTGGTTTTATTTATTTCATATTTCTTATTCACAGGGGTCAATAGCCAGGCTCAAATTGAACTCTGTGCCTGAAATAACCCTGCCAAAAGCAGTCACAATAACATAAGTGTCAGTGATAGAAAGAGGGTGCATAGAGACTGCTATGCCCATTCATGGGACATTACTTGTGCCCTGCTCTGGCGGCTCACAGAAGGCTGAATTCAATAATCCTTGAAAGGTTTATCCTGCTCTAGTTAAGTCTCTAAAGCTGACCTTGGGGGTCTGCTTGAGCACTCCTACACTGACCAGGCTCTCCAATCTTTAGTTACCACTGTTCTCACCATCCTGTGGTTGTGCCCAGTAGGATGCAAGCCTCCGTAATATTCTCCTATACAAAGAAGGCCGGGAAGGGGTCTCTTCTGGTTCACTGGAAGGTCTCTCTGTGGGTCCCGTGTATGAGATGGAAGCTTGATGAGTCTGAGGCCACTCCTTTTAATGTGGAGAGGGAAAAACTCTTGTCATGCACACACAATTCTAAACTCTAGGTGTTTCTCTTTGTAAAGGTTAGTTTTCTACCTATACCTACTGGAAAGCTAAGTAACAATCTCCTCTCACTGTATGGAATACTTTCTCTAAAACAAAATGGAATCCTCAAACTTTCTTTTCCTATTAAAGCATTATATTGAAAACCATGAACTCAGTAACTGCTGCCTCTATTGCTTTCCCTAACACGGACTAACAACCACTGTTTATACTTGTTCAGAAAGAAAAAAAAATAATAATATAAATGAACATCGATTCATCCCAAAATACATTTATCTTTGGTTTACAGATGATGACACAAATGAAACTGATGAAATCCAGTTGCATCAAATACCTACTTCACTCCTGGGGGTCTTATTCCACACAGAGGCCAGATATCTAGCCCAGGCTTGCAATCCAGCCCAAGACCTCTTATTTCTGTTTCAAAGCCCATCATCCTCACACTCTACATTTTTTATCCTCTACTTCCTGGTCCCCAAGTCCAGTGCCATCCTGGATCATCCTGGCAGCATGAATAATTAAACCATGCCCTAGCCTCTTGGCCCTTGATATCACCTCTAATTCACCATAACCACCCACTTCCATGGTCACATCCCTGCCCTTAATGTCATCCACAACTATTCCATCTTGGAAACATAAAAACCTGATCTCCTACTGTCTAATCATATCCCAGACTCTTTTGGTTGATTCTTTTGTGTCCAGTATGTCTCCCAGGGCTAACTTCTCCCCTGTTCTCAAGTTTCCACATGGTAAGTTACAAAACCAGAACAATTCTGGCTTCTTTCCCTCCATCGATATTTGCTCACTCTCCCTCAAGTCCAGGACAAACACGTGGGTCCGCCTCTTCCTTTCTTTCTGACAGTGGTTGTCCAAGACCCACACATTCACTGCTGCTACATGCAGTAAGCTTACTGTGGTGGTCTCTGCCCTGAAGGAGATGTTATAAGTAGATACGTTCAGTTTGGAGTATTAAGAGGTCAAAGTGTGACCATGTATCTACTGTGTCCTTCACTCCTGCAGACATTTATAAAGCTGATGTTTTTAATTTCTATCTGCCTAGTTCCTGCATTTGTTTTCGCACCTTCCTTCAAACTCAACCACATCAAGTTTTCAATCACATTGAGGATTCCACCCCGACCATTCATTTTCCCTCAGTTCAAATTTACAGTTGATTACTTTAAATCGCTTTCTTTTTTTGTTTACTCTTAGCTCCCCTGTCTTTATTCTTTCATAACACGTGTCCTAAAAAGCCCCAATTCTGGATCAGTCTTATTCCTAAGCTCATGTCCTCCTACATCATGGCTCAGTATTACTAGAGGGGGAAAATACTCCTGCTGAGTATCAATACAGGGAAAAGCAATCACCCTGTAACAACTGAGTGTCACTACAATTCTTGGTCTCAAGCCATCAATGCCACTTAATAACCCTTCTGGGCCTCCCCTTACTTTCATCTTTCTTCAAAATCCCCCATGACACCACCACTATCCACCTTATTTTTGACATATCACTTTGCTTCCTGCACTTTAGTCAGAACTACCTTAACTCTCCATGATCTTGTTTTCAATCTGGATCCCATCTTTTACTTCTCTCCTATATCCAATGAGAAAGGTGTCTCTTCCCCTGTCCAGGGACAATCCAGTATGCTGGATCACACACTCTTCCACTCGCTCATGAATTCTGCCAATTCAATCATGCCTTCTCTCCTTTCTCTTCACTTTTTCCCCATTCTTCTTTTCTTTTGCTTCAGAATAAAAAGACATGAATATTTCTCCAATTAAAAAAATTCCAAGCTGGGCTCGGTGGCTCAGCCTGTAATACTGCGCCTTTGGGAGGCTGAGGTGAGTGGACTGCCTGAGCCCGCGGGTTCGAGACCTGCCTGGGCAGCGAGACCTCATCTCTACAATAAATCAAAAAAATGAGCCGGGCGTGGTAGCACATTCCTGTAATTCCGGCTACTTGGAAGGCTGAGGCGGAAGGATCACCGGAGCCCAGCAGGTTGAGGCTGCGGTGGCCGGGAGCGGCCACTGCACTCCAGTCTGGTCGACAGAGTGAGACTCCAACTCAAAAAAATCAAATTAAATAAAAAAAAAATTCCAGGCTGGGTGCAATGGTTTGTGCCTGTAATCCTAGCACTTTGGGAGATCAAAACAGGAGAATTCTTAAGTCAGGAGTTCAAGACCAGCCTGGACAACACAGTGAGACATCATCACTACAAAAAGTTTTTTAAAAAAGTTAGCTGGGGGTGGTGGCCTGTAGTCCCAGTTACTCAGAAGGCTGAGGCAGGAGAATCACTTGAGTCAAGGAGTTTGAGATTATGATGAGCTACAATCACAACATTGTGCTTTAGTCTGGATGACACAGCAAATCTTGTCTCTACAAAATAACAAAAAGAAAAAAAACTCATACTGATCCTATATTTCTCTCAACTTTTTTGCCTTGTCTATTTCCTTCTCTTCAAAGGCAAGGTTCTTGAAGGAGTAGCATGTCCTTGCTGGCTCCACTTCTTTACTTCTCATTCCTTTCTTAACTTTCTTCACCATGGCTTCAGCCCCTCTACTTTGGAGGTTGCCAAACCTGTGGAGGATGCCAAATTCAATGGATACTTTCCCGTCTTCATATCTAGAGTCTTTGCTGTTGCTCCTTGAAATTTTCATTTTTTCCTGAAATTCTCTCTTCCATTGGCTTCTATGTCAGTATTCTCTCCTACATTTTCTGTTAGTACGTCTCAGTCATTTTCATGGCTCTTTAAAAGTTTATATTTCTCAGGGCTATTCCTGGCCATCTGTTCTCAACGGTAACTTCACCAAGCCCATGGTTTCAATGCCACTCATACGCTTACGACATCTGAAACTATGTCTTCAGCACAGACCCCTCTGCTGAATTCCAGACCTAAATCACAATTGTATCTCCACTTGTCTGGACCACAGGTACGTTAAACTCAGCATGTAACAAACTGAAAATATCATCTTTCTTCACAAACTCCATCTTACTCTACCTAATATTATCAACATTAATAGAAAACTCTAGTTACAAACTCCAGTGTCTCATACCAGAAACCAGGCAATCCTATACTCTTCCAACTTCTGAGGTTTCTAACTCAATAACACTTTAATCTGTCTTCATTTGTCAGTACTCACTGTTACCACCTTGGTCTACACCATATCACTTCTCATCTGACCTACTCAGACAATCTTCTCTCTGATGTCCTTGCTTTTAGCTGTCTATGTCCAGTCTCTCATCTACACTGCTGCCAAGCAATTTTTCGAAAATGAAAATCTGTTCATGTTATGCCTCTGCCTAAGACTCAATACCTCTCCAGTGCTTTAAGGATTAAAGTCAAATGCACATCAAAGCTGCCTTAATCTACTCTTACCCCTCTAGCTTCATTTCCTGCCATTTTACTGTATTAAGCATAATTAAGGACCATGTCACACCACTGTTAAATATTTCAAAAATGTAGTGTAAATGTTATCTTCTCTGGGACTACATTCTAACCCTCAGTCAGGTTTGGATGCCACTCCTTTCTGCTTCCATCCATCTTTCCATATTTCTCCCACAGCACTTGCCAAATGGCTGATTTACTTGTACCCCTCTCCCAGCACACAAACCCTACTTCATGGCAGGAAATCTTCTTATGTGACTTTGTGTCCTAAGCATATACCAATAATTGTTTGCTGAATAAGTAGTGGAAACAGCTTATATTCACCCAGACTCTATTACTTAAATATGTAACTACTCTATGTATACTCGCCACGCTACCAATGAAATTATAATAACACATTTTACTAATCCAGTTTGCCTTAGATGTAGAAAGGCAAACATTTTTAAAATCATGTAGACTTCCTTCTGGTATTTTAGGATTTTAGTTGTTTACACTTAATTTTTTAATCTAACTGCAGTCTTTTAGAGGCTAGAGGGAGTTATGTTTTCCAAATGTTTTGCAGTGAACATGCAGTACTTTTATAATTAGAAAAACACTTGATAACTCTGAATATTAACACTGGAACTAAATTTTTCACTATATTCAAACTCTACTTGCCAATTTTCAGATCAGCTAGCCAAATTGTCAATACACTACTTCAATTTGCATAAAAACTGAACATGGTAAGTAGCCCACAGCTACGAATGACTTTTTAATCAGCATTTTCATTACTATAAATTGTTAGGTTTTTCTCAATGCCAATATTTTTACTGTATAGCATAGAGCAGCACTGCCCAACAGAACTTTCCCAAATGATGGAAATGTTCTATGTCTGTCCTCTCCAATGCAGTAACCACTACCACATTTGGCTAGTAGCATTTGAAACCAACTGATATTATACACAAACCTGTACAATTAGATATACTGAGATACAAACTTTCAATTCATTTCCAGATGCTAATAAAGATAAATAATCAAAGAGATATAATATGTCATTATTTTCAAGATTTGTCTGGCAAGAGTGAGTCAGCTAATAGCAAAGGGAAGTAGAAGGTTAAAGAGAAATGAAATATGGGTTTGGTAACAGAAGGAAGGAATTGGTATATAAGGAGTGATTGCTTATCAAAACAGGAATGCTTTCTGTTATCTGTATATAATCAAATACACCCCATTTTTACATCTGTAGTAAGAAATTTAAAAATATGCCACATATCTCAGAGGAACAACAAAATAACACAGTGCAACTTTCTTCACTGTAAATTGCATTTACCTTAAGAGTGCTGAAAAAGTGGGCTGCTTTGATTTTTAGAGGTCCAAGATACCAGTACCTGAGAAAGACCAAGATAAAACTCTGAGTACAATATTAAAAGAACTGTCAATGTGAAAGATACCATTCATGGAAGATAATACATTAGATTATACTTCTGTTAGGAGTGGCTACTCTGGAAGCTTAGCACAAGAGTATTAGAGTAAATTTTTTAATCTGCATTTAAATGCTTTGTCAAACAGTATGCAATTAGTTATACAGTGAAAAGATTCTTGCAATTTAAAAGTGATATATAACTAGAGTCTCTTTGAGTCCTCAAATCTATAAGTATCACTTGTATCATAGCCTTTAAACCATAGAATATAATTCAGTATACAGTTGTCCTGTCAGTATCTGTGGCAGATTGGTCCTCAAACCCCCCCAAGGATACCAAAATCTGAGGATGCTTGAGTCTCCAATATAAAATGATGTAGTATTTGCTTATAACCTATGCACATCCTCCCATATACTTTAAATTATCTTTAGATTACTTACAATAATGAATACAATGCCTCCACTTCACTTCATTCACACAGATTCAACATAGTGCACTGGCATGCGGCAAATTCAAGTTTTACTTTGTGTGTGTGTGTGTGTGTGTCTTTTAATTTTTATTTTCCATTTACAATGGGTTGAATCAATGGATGTAGGACCAACGGATACAAAAGACTGACTACACGTTCAAAAGAGCAATGAGTAGAAAATGGTAAAGTCATACTAAGGTGCAGATACCATCTGACGTGTCACTACTCACAAGTTAAATGATTGGATACTGTATACTATGTCCTTTCACAAACAAAAATACACACACGGCCACACACAATTAAAATGTCTAACCCAGTGTAATTTCACATCACTTATGTTACTCAGCTTTAAAATAGCAAATATTAAACCTGGGAATAAAGAGAATCTGCTGCATACTGCTAAATACATAAAGCTACTGGAGAGAGGGTATGCCTAATTGATATTAGAAAGTAGCATAGATTGCTCTCTTAAAACTTGTCTTTTCTTTTTTTTTTTTTAATTGTAGAGACGAGGTCTCGCCAAGTTGCCTGGGCTGGTCTTGAACCTGCGGGCTCAGGCAATCCATTTGCCTCAGCCTCCCAAAGTGCTGGGATTACAGGCTGAGTCACCCACCAAACCACCCCATCTTAACTGCTCTCTATTGATACTGATCAGTATGCATTTATTTAGCATCTACTATGAATATGGGAGGAAAAAGAAGAAATACAGAGCATAAAATTCCTGCCTTTGGAAGCTTCAGATTTAAGGGGAAAAAAGGCCCAAATATGTAATAGAAAACAATAAATGAGCCGGGCTCGGTGGCTCAGCCTGTAATCCCACACCTTTGGGAGGCTGAGGTGAGTGAATTGCCTGAGCCCGCGGGTTCGAGACCCGCCTGGGCAACTTGGCAAGACCTCATCTCTACTATAAATCAAAAATTAGCCGGGCGTGGTAGTGTATGCCTGTAGTTCCAGCTACTTGGAAGGCTGAGGCGGAAGGATCACTGGAGCCCATCAGGTCAAGGCTGCGGTGGCCAGGAGCAGCCACTGCACTCCAGTCTGGGCAACAGAGTGAGACTCCAACTCAAAAAAAAAAAGAAAACAATGAATGACTATTGCAAGGTATAAACTGATCACTATTTATTAGTAAGGAGAATCAAGAGAGGACAAAAAATCATTAAGGGCTTAAAATCATTGAAGCAGCCATGCTTACAAAATGAATGTCACAGAATAAAGGTATGAAACTTAGAGAGATGGGTTGGCTTTAGATACATGACAGAGGGAAGGAGACCATTCTAGATAAGAGTTCTAAGAAGCAAGGGTGTGGGAAACAGCGAGAATAACAGTCAGACAAGGAGGGAAAAGATTAAAAGATGCATAATTACATAATTAGGGGTGATGACACAGTAAATTGGGCCTGAAATACCAGAACAAGGAGTTTAGATAGAATCCAGTAGGCAGTGTGGAGTCACTTTAAATTACCGTTCAGACTAATACTGTGATGCTACTAATGAGGGCCTTAATCATCTGAGTGTGTGTGTGTGTGTGTGTGTGTAAGTTTATTTCAGAGTTTGCTTCTTTTCCCAGTTAGCCAAGTAGAACAACATCTCATCTCAGGTAGTTTATTTCTAAATTGTCAGCAGTTCCCTTCATGTCTACCAGTAGCAAATTTTGACACTATGCTTGTGTGCTTGTAGTCTTCCTATAGTCAGCAAGGAAATGACTTCTTCAATCCCTACTGTTTCTTCCTTAACACAAAGAGCAACTCTATGGATAGTTCTATCCAAGGTATACAATAACAACCAGAATTTTAAAATTCATTGTTCAGAAGCCAATCAACATATGGGCCAAGTATGTGAACTTTTCCTGAAAGGGCGACTTGTGCTTGTGTTTAATTACTGATTAATACATTTTGGAAAGCAATTTGCCCTGCCAGACATTTTATGGAAGGCTAAGCAATTCTTCTTGGTGAGCTGCTGGAATCTGAGATTATAGATAAAACACAAGGCAATACGTGGACTCCATATAATCATGGCAAACTTGCAAATAAGGAGATGTAAAATATTTAAGAATGCAGTGTGTAATATAATATGATAATATCTCTCTTTGGACATTTCACTGTCAGAAATTTCATTAGCAAAAATAATAAAGTAAAACAAGTGAGAGAAATTCCTGTAAAAAAGTATGGCGGGCTGGCCCATTAAGTGAAAGAGGAATATCTTGATGAAAGCTATGTGTGAGATCCATCATAAACTGTACTAAAATGGTAAGCCCTTGTTTTTAAGAAAAGGTAAAGAAAAAAGGAAAGGAAAAAACACCACCTGTCAGGTATGAAGTGAACCTCATGCAGTGTCTCCTTCAGTCCTACCTCAGCAAGTCCTAGCCTACACTAGCTCTCCACAGCAAATGGAATATGACATGCCCTTCTCCAAGCCAAGAGTTGCGTTTCACATAATGGATTCTCCAAAAATAAGTCCATTACCATAAAAAGCCAGCCCTCTAATTAGCTCCTCAATATGTCTGTTTCTCCTATCTCAAATACAGTTAGATGACATGTTCCTTCTCTAAGAGAGGTGGACTGTAGTCTCAATCTGCAGGCCATCCAAAAAACACCTTTCAGAAAAAGTCTTCCAACTAGGACTATAACAGCTCCATGAGGCTGTGGCACAGGCAGTACCTTCCACTACCCTGCTAAGCCTGTTTTAAGATGATAGGCAATCCAGTTCTCCCTGCAGTTTATGCTTGAGTCTAATCTATGCTTAAATATTATGTCTAAAAATAGAAACATACCCTTTTCCTCTTCAGCTACTACTAGCTTGTGTGGAAGAAACTGGAATGTTACCCAGAATTTCTGCATATAGAATATAAACCTCTGTCTGACTGTTCCTACCTCCATTAATCACACATAATTCTACCTCCAGGTCCACCAAATTTATCCCCACTAGGTTATCATAAGTTAAAACCTCAAAGGCAGGGAGGGACAGAATAAGATTTTTAAAAAGTCATCACACATCAATAGAGTAATCCTTTACTTGCTAACTTTGACGCCAGCATCTCTGAAGGATCCCCAGCGAAGGCCAGTCATTGCAAACACAGGTTGTTCCTTTTCACCCTGGAAGTTAAATACATTTAATTTAAATTCATGATTATAATTTGGAACTCTCTATCTGAAAGCACTCAGCAAATGTTCGTGGCCTACTTTTCATCATATCAAAATTCTAAAAAATATGTTGGAACTTTCAATAAATTAATCCTGTGAGTGCTCAATAAAAGCATTTGGATAACCTGTACTGTAAAATAAAATTAATTTTTATATATTAAGTCTCATGAATCTGCTGGCAAGAGAACAATTATCATCCTTCAGACTAGAAATTAAGCAGTTCCTAACTATGCTGGTTCTTGGACCAATATCAGTAGTCAGTTCAGCCAGAAATTCTTCTCTCTGGTATACTCTCTGGTAAACCTGTACTCTCCTTATAGGGTCAAGAAAGGCTAAGATCAGAATCCTAGTACTCTAGAATGTTTCACCTGAATATCTGAAAATACAGTCCTATGCTTGTCACAACAAGTTGAAATAAAAAGTGATTCAGATTTAGTTCAGCGCTTGGTCAAAGACTACATATTACAATGAGGGAGTTTCTAACAAATCTGTGAATTAAGCAATATATAGAAAAAATACACAGTCGTGCCAATGCCCCTTGGAGTTTATACTCTACAAAGAAGCTTCCTTAAAATCACAAAAAAATATGAACCAGGATTCTGAATGAGACTTTTCCTGTAGCTCAGAATTGCAGTTAATGTCTGAGAGCTGAAAACTGATAGGCACCAAGCACTCTCACATTCTAGAGAAAACTGCTAAATGCTACACACAAGCCCACAGAATTCACTGCAAGAGGGGCAAAACAAGCTCAATTTCCACCACTCCTGTAACAATCCGGACAAAAGGCAAAAGTCATCCAGACCAAAGCAGTAACAACAGAGATCATGATCCACCACAGTCAGTACAGACAGAACCAGAAGAGAATCCTTGGCACTATAAGTTGCTGGCCTAGAGAAAGTACCAAAGGTCTTTTCCTCAGGGGAGGGAGTGCTCCCATGCCCATCTCCACTACACCAAAACGAAGTGAGGAATTTCTAGAAGCATCACACACAAATAAGAGAGGCCTGCAAGAGAAAAAATACTGGTTTCTCATCCCTTTGCTTGTATCTGCTCATGCAAGTAGTTTGCTTTTCTGTTCTCTGTACCTACTTAAGCAAGAGAAAAGGAAATTACAGAGAGAAATAGCAATGAAAGAGGGCAAGGTGAGGTAACTCACTGACTGCTATCACAAGAAAATATTAGTCTCCTTGGTGCCTAGTGGATATTATGGAAGATAGCAGGACTTTGAATCACCTTGACAGTGACCCATCTAAGAACCTGGCTTAGGGGCCATGGTCCCCAAGTACTAAGAGGCTGTGGAATGTACCAAGCCTGAAGGCTGAAGGAGGAAGTTGAAAGAGGTGGCACATAGAACAGGTCTCTAACATCAGAAAACTATGTCCCGGGACAGGGGGGGAAGGGGGAGGGAGTCCCAGAGAACTCATACATGAACCCATAAGACAGCCAGCATCGGGGCATCAGCAACCAAGAGGTTGCTATAATACTATCTGTCAAGTAAAAAAAATTTTCTTTAATCTTTCCTGTATGTTTCAACAATAGAGGAGCTAGAAACAGTAGGAATAGGGAGAATGGGCTGAAAAAAGAGATACCCCAAGATGTTGAGGGGAGAGGTAACTGCTACTTAATATAAGGAGGTGGGAGAAGATGTTTGGCCCTGGAAGGTTTGAAGACCTTTGGATGGTTGGCTTTTATTCAGAGATGAAAAGTTGTTGGAGGGCTTTGGGAAGAGAAGTAATATGCTCTAACTTGTAACCGCACACTGGCCATTGTGCTGGGAACAGACTGTAGGAAGGCAGGGGCAGAGGAATGATAAGATTTAGAGGACTTCTGTAATAATCCAGGCAAAAGGCAAAGGTGGCTGGGACCAGAGTGATAACAATAGAGAGGTAATGCTGGATTCTGAATATGTTTTGAAGATAGAGCCAATATGGTTTCTTGCCTGACTGACTATGGGGAGTCAAGGTAGACTCCAGCATTTTTTGATATAAATAATAATTTTATCAAAGTCTAAGTGTATAAGTATTATACCTTTAAAGACTGCATTCTTTCTTATGAATATATGCTGATCACTAAAGATTTATAAAATGCCACAGTAACTTAGAACAATTGTTTTGAAGTGAGAGTCCTCACATAATACCTAAGTGATCTTAGGCAAGTCACTTAACTTCTGAACTTTGACTTCTACTTCTGAAAATGAGGTCACCTTTTGCTTAACACTAAAAAAAAACTTTACCATATGATCTCTTACATGTATATAAAAGGGTTATCATCATCGTTTCCTCACCTGCTAGCAAAGTGGGTGGCAACAGCAAATAAATAAAACTTATAATAAATAAATTAATAAAATAAAAATGACTAGTAATAATCATAAAGAAGGTGACAGAATAACCTTATAAAGCATTTACATGAATCAGAAATATCCCTCCTCTCACTATAATTCCATAACAGTCACATCTTAAGTATCTGAAGACAGATATGTTTTTACTCATTCACCCAATAAATATTTATTGAACCCCAACTCCAAGCCAAGCATTGTGTGGGCTGAGGACACAGTGGTGAACAAGCTAACACACTCCCTACTTCAAATGCCTATATTCTTTCCTTAGCCATTATGTTCTCCAAGCTAAATGTCTGGTCTTTTGGTTATTCCTCCATGACTTTACAGCCTCATCATCTTGTTTCCCCAACCCCACTATTGTCTGTCAATGTACCTTGTATCATCTAGAACCGAATAAAATATTGAAACTAAATAATGTTTAAGTTAACTCCCACTTTACATTCTTCTTAACAAAACTACTAAGGAAGTATAAAAATGTGGTAAGTTTTTATATGTCAAGCTTCTAACTTATAAGCTAATCATTTTTTTCATGTATACTGTCTTTTTCTTTTTCATCTTAAGATGTGGGATACAATTCCAAGTTAGGTATACAAATGTTCATTATGCAGGTATCCTTGTTGATGAGGTGTGCCCCTCCTTCCCCTGGCAGTTTCCCTCAACAGCCAATTCCAGCCCCCCTCCCCTGGCAGTTTCCCACTACTGTCAATCTCTTTCTTATAGTATTATGATAATTGTTCAAGGTCTGCTTATGAGTAAGAACATATGGTAGTCTGTTCTTTGTTTCTGTGATAGATCACTGAGTATGATAGACTCTAAATCCATCCAAGTTGCTGTGAACAAATATATATTATCCATTAGAGGCTAAAGATAAAAATAAAAAAGTCTGTTCTCAAGGAGCTCAAAGTAGTAGAGGAATATATAGACACAGACACAAAAAATAGCATGATATAGATGGTTCAAATAACAGAGACATACAGAGTATTACAAAAGTAGGTGCAAGCCGGGCTCGGTGGCTCAGCCTGTAATCCCAGCACTTTGGGAGGCTGAGGTGAGTGGATTGCCTGAGCCCGCAGGTTCGAGACCTGCCTGGGCAACTTGGCGAAACCTCAGCTCTACAATAAATCAAAAATTAGCCAGGCGTGGTGGCGCGTGCCTGTAGTTCCAGCTACTTGCAAGGCTGAGGCGGAAGGATCGCCGGAGCCCAGCAGGTCGAGGCAGTGGTGGCCGGGAGTGTGTGACGGCACTACAGTCTGGGTGACAGAGTGAGACTCCAACTCAAAAAAAAAAAAAAAAAAAAAGTAGGTGCAACTGCATAACAGGAAGGTGAACAAAGGAGAAAGAGATGGTCAGGGAAAATATAACACAAATTTTAAAACAAAACACAATTTAAATAATCTTTCATCAGTATTTTTTCATTGACAAAGCATACTTGGATGTATTTGTGAAGTACAATGTGATTGGATATATGTATACAAGGTAAAATGATTAAATCAAACTGATTCACATATCCATCACCTTAGTTACTTATTCTTTTTTTGTGGTAAGACGTTTGAAATGTATTCTCTTAGTTATGTTGAAAGATATAATACATTATTATCAACTAAAGCCACACTGCTGTGCAATAGATCTCAAAACTATTCCTCTTGTCTGACTGCAACTTTGGACCATTTGACCAACATTTAAAAAATAAGGTACCTAGACTGGGAAGGCTGGAAAGGACTGGAGAGAAAGATGAGGAGAGAAGAATGTGCCGCCTAAGGGAGAGAAATAACATTATTTGAGTGTGTCTATAGCAGTGTTTCCCCAAGTGTTTCATGACATGTTAAGTGTTACATCAAATAACAATGATCATGATGGTGATGATGATAGATGATTCCATGATGAAATAAAGTAGAAAACATCAACTTATTAGTTTGAAACAAGTTGTTATTACTGTAGTTCTTCTTAGAGACGTTAATATGTTGATTATAAATTTCCCAAAAGGAAAATATAATTTTCCTAAGCTATTCACTGGGCAATCCTTCTCTGAGAGAACATTTTTGCATAACCTGTATTCCCTGAGAAATGCTGTTCTAAAGCATGTAGGATAGATAAGAAGTGCTGAGATAAGTACTGGAGATTTGCTGACTGGTATTCTAACACTGTCTTCTCTTTCTTCATCTGGGGAAATAATTTTAAAATTATTCCATTAGAATTAACTGAAGAGCCTTGTAACTTCAACGTTCCACAGATGTGAGTGCTAGCAAAGGGTGGGAATGACTCTGGACAATAGGAAATTAGCAGCCAAGGCATAGTAGGTGTGAACAGATCTAGAGAAGCCAGATAGCCAGATGGGCAGCCAACAGTCAGCATTCAGAAGAGGCCTGAGGATCAGTCACTGAGAGACTAGTCCTCATTGGGTACATATGAGCAATGTACAAATAAGCAAGGTAAGATGGACAGAGTAGAAGCCAGTAGACAAAGTACACTGTATCTTAGCCCACTAAAGGTATGGGCAAGTAGTCAGATTATGAGATGGACAGGTCAGTAAACAAAGACAAAAAGAGAAAGATAAGCACACAGTCAGATCTTAAAGGCAAAGGAGATATATTGCCCCAATTCAGACTACCCTGGA